ATTTAAATACGATTCAGGAATTATAATGAACTGAAAAGAGACAAAGGATTTATTAAGAAAATAAAAACATCAAAAAGAGACTTAATTCAAGTACAGTCGGGAACTGTGTGGGTTGCCGTCAAAAGAGATATATCATTCGGGAAGTACAAAGCACATAATTAAAAATTAAAGAAATTCATTCTCGCTTAGACGAAGAGATAAATAATTGTTATATTTTATACTTACAGCAAATAATAGCAAATTTCTTTTTAGCAGCATTTTAACACTATAATAGTATAATTGATAACACTAACGATACAATACGGAAAGAAAAATATACGAATGGAAATGAATTCGCCCAAGGAGCTCATCGAAAGTTCAAGTTCTATTTCAGTCGTCGTTTTGTTGAGACAATTCGGAAACAGGTAGCGCATTCCAATCGAACGCAAATGCAACTTACATATGTACGTGCAACCGCCACACGTGCGTGTCTGGCGTTTGTACGACGAGGAGGAAAAAAGAGCGTAAAAACGTTGCGCCCGACGTTTAGCGACCTGCGAGCACGATGCGAGCGTCAGATTAAAAGCGGAATTAATTAACTTGCGTACGTGCATGTGTAAGTCCGTTCGATGTGCGGGCGCCCCCGTCGACGCTCTATTCGCATCCATGCCGCACCTGCTGTTGCACTGGTTGATCGCAACGGACAAAGGAGATTGATCATCCGTTTCATTCGATTTCGCGGCGAGACTGCGCGCGAGTTTCCTTTTATTGGATTACAAATCGAAAAAGAAAAAAAAAATTGCTACCCGTACGCGAACGGGACGCGGCCCACGTCCGGTGAGTGTGCCTGTAGTAAATGCTTTGTAACGTAATGTATCCCGGATGAACTTTAACTCAGAGACCCCGTCTTTTGAATTTGAAATTATCTTTTTGAAAACCTCTCTATTCGAAAAGCAAAATTTTCGAAAGGTCGTGAAACGATAAATAAACAGTAAAAGCATACTCGATGGTTTCATTAATTTATTTCGTTAACTTTTAAAGAAGTTTTATACTCTCTCTGGAAGCTTGATTATTATTCATTTTATTTAGTTATTTAATGTCAAGGAAATTAATGCTGAAATTTTTAAAGAAGTTTCATACACTCTCTCTGAAAGTTTGATTATTATTTATTTTATTTTATTGGAGTTTAGTCATGTAGTGCTAAGGAAATTAATGCTAAAGTTTTGAGTGAGAAAATATTGATACTCTAAATTGTGATTATATAGAAAAATTCAAAATGTAAAACGTTGGAATAAATTGAGACGCTGATCCTTTGCTTTTTTAAATTTAAGATTAAAGAAAGAAATTGTTCTCATATAAATAAACACGAATAGCACACATGTGCAAATATTTATTTTACTTTATTAAAATTGAATGCAAAATGCTGTATTAAAATTTTTAATTACTCGTTACGTTCTCTCCTAAAACTCGCTAATTTAATTTTTAAAAAATGTGAATTTTGTGCTTGTACATGTCTAGGCTCTTTCACGAATTTGAATTCTGCGTCAGGATGTACCTAATGACTGACGATGCGTTAATGTAACTTTGCAAATATTGCAGGAACATTTACGCGTGAAAGCACGTCGGCAGCATTTCGATACGTTTCGAGAGCCATGCACTCGGATATTCATGGTATTCGACTCGAAGCAGAAGCCCAACTCGGTAAACGCGGCGCGAACGGATCGATAGACGCAATCAAATTGTGTGACGAGAACTGTTGCGTCCGCGTCTATTTGTCTCAGCCACACTTCTATTCCATGCGACTATAGCCTTTTGCTGATTTCTTTCTTGAAGTATCGCTGCTTGAAAATATCACGATGCTTCGAGCTTCTTTTGCAGCAGCGCAAAACTGCCTTTATCGAATTTAAGAATTTAAATAGAGCGGAAATATAAATTGCAGCAAAATATTGCATTTTCCTAATAAAATATCTCCTACGATTCAAATTTTAATCTAATCTGCACATTCGGACAATCTGCGTGAAGGCTTCCTTCGCGCAGAAAAGCATCTTTGATCAATACGAAAAATTGTATTGAAAACTTATTGCAATATTTCATTTTAATTGCATAAAAGTCTAAAATATTGTAAATGTTAAAAATTTTGGAAATACAAAAAGTAATCAATTTTAAATTATGTTTTAAGTAAAATATTTGAAATATATATAAAATGGAAATAAATAAAATGTAATTTTATGTTTTATGCGCGATAAGACATATAAAAGTAGAAAAATAATATAAAAATATAATGACGTAATATACACAATATTTTTGATATTAAATATTGTGATTTATATATAATAATTTCAATTATCTTTAATTTATTATGTTTTCCAAAGCTTGCTGTAATTGATTTCTAATGAAATTACTCTTATTATAATTATTATCATTATTATATTACGTTATTTATACATAAAACATAAAATTACTTCAGATATTAAAATGTCATATGAATCACCTTTGCACGCTATCTTTTCATTTCAATCGCGACCGAATTATTAGCGATAATTAATATTTTTTCGTTAATCATGCAAATATATTTATTAATTCATTATTGAATTAAAAACTTCAGTTGTGAAATACAATTATGAAATGAGTTAATTTTAAGGCTCCTATTCTATAACTTTTAACGATATCGTTACATTGCTATTGCACAATTTTTTTTGCCGTATAATATAAAATCCTGCTCAACGACAATATAACGTTACTGTCATTAAAAGTTACAGAATAGGTTTCTAAAATTATTCAATTTTAATCTGAGCGGTTATGAATCAAAGTGATTATCCAATATCAGCCATTTTCGACGCAAGTAATGACTTTATTGTTCTCGAAAGAGATGAAACAGGGGATGTGTGTGTTGCAAATATGTGTAGGGAGGATTGCGTACTTGAAATTTACACGGGGCTGCCACCGACGACGGCGTAGGAAGTTAAATCACGTCTGCGATTTAACGACGACGTTAGACTCCGTTTCTTCAAGCGTGAAATCTAAATGTTTATACGATGACATTGCCGCCGAGGTAGGGAATAGGCGGCCACCTTCCACGACACATGTATATGTAATATATTCGGCAGAAATTGCGATTGCCCGGTCGGCGCCCTTCGTAAACGTGTAAACGAGCGGCGCGCGGGTGCAATGGCGAGACACGCTCACGGATAGTGCGCGTGTTCTCCGTTTGTATAATTACGAGTTACGAGCGTGCTAATGTTGAATCTCGCAAGAATCGTAGGAGGAAATCGTGTTCTCCCGCAGCGACGAGCGTACCTCGCAACAGAGGCTCGTTCAGAAAAAGAGTATAAAAGAGACGTCTCTTTTATCTCTTCTACTGAGTTCAACTGTAACACGTCAAACACAGGTAACGATATTATTCCCGTACGGATACTAAATGGCAATTATTTCATCAAACAAAAAGGAAATGCTATTTTTTTAAAGGCAAAGAGTGTTTTTTTAATTTTTATTTTGAGAATTATATGCGAATTAGAAGCAATCTCCTCTGCAGCAAAATCATACTCTTTCTGTCTTCATGATAAAATGTTTATAGTGTTTCTTAGAATTTTTCACATAATCTATTAGAATGTTTACATCAATTTTAAAATTTGTCACAATTTCTCAGATTTATTATATGAGTTGGAATGATTTTTTAGAAATGCTGGCAGAGTCTGCATCCTTTCCTAGAATTCTTTATACCTATATGTAAATTCTGAAATCTTCTAAGAAATCTCATTCTGTTATGTCCAAAGAAAACATATAAAAATGAAGAAATTTAAGATATTTTTTTTAACTCTATAAGTTTAAAATATGAAAAATTCTTACAAATATTATGAAATGTTACGGAGATTTTTTTCGTCATACTCCACGAAAATTCTCTTCTCTATAGTTTGTGTCTAGATTCATTAGCTTCTCTTTGCAACTTTCACTTCCAATTTTTCTCGTGACGTAATGGAACATTTGGAAGGACTATCGAAGGAGCGACATAACGCGACATAAAAAGAACGGCAGCAAATGATTACTTGTGTTTGAAAAGGAGTTATTTTCTTGTTGAACTGTATAAATCAATAAATCCTAGACGGCATGCATGGCCTTGTAATTTACGCAGTCAAGAAACTCTATAGGTTATTGTCAAATATAAAAGGATAAAAAAGGGGTTTGATTTCGTGTTTGTTATTACACTGCACAGCAAACAGTAAAGTTAATTGCTCACAGCAAAGAAGCTCTCAATTGAAATTATAAAACGCCTTCCTTGAATATTGCAGTCATTCATCAGAGGAGAAGGAAAGCGGAGACGTGCGATTTCTTCGCGCCCGAAAGAAAGGGCGTCAGATTGAAAGGCCAACCTTAGAAAAAGTGTACGCGAACGTGTAATTATGCACAATTGGCTCGAACCAATCAATTCTTATTCGCGATACTGAATTACGCGACAAATCGGTGTACAAAAAGAGAAAATTCCTCCTCTTCTTGATATTGAATTAATTACGTATAAGAAACTAAATTGGTAGCGGTAGTAATAAACTAAATTCTACGAAATTTGATATTAAAAAGCGGAAGCAGCACGTGCGATATCAGCTTACGATTAGTTAAAATGTAGAAGCGTAAGATTTTCTTAGTTGAGATAACCGAATAGCGTTAATCCAAAGTTAAAGTTGTAGCGAGTTGCAACGAGTTTCTTAATTAGCGTGACTTACCGCGTTGTGTATCGCTCTTACCCATTCACATTTCTGTGTTACCATTCAATATTGTGAATGTGATTTAATAATTTTTAATATACTTAAAACTGCAAGGCATAAGCAGAGAAGACAGACGAGTATAGAAGGACGGATCTCTATATATCAAAATGTCTTCTCTGGCATAAGTGCGATTTTAATACCGATGAAACGACGACGGTGCTTCAAAAAAGGATCACTTGAAGTTGGGCATCGTTTATATATTTGATCGTACAGAGATTAACAAATGGCAGTAATATGGGTATCTTATTACCTACTGCAGTTTATACAACAATTAATTAGTTCGGTATATCGAACCAGATAAGAGTCTAAACAATGTTTCAAGATTTAATATATAAGTATGGATTACAAATCTATTTGTCGTACTTCAGATCAGCTCAAAATATGAATCGATTCTGAGCTCTGTCCTTCTAGTAAGAAAAACAATACTTATATATTGAAAACGAAATAGTTGTATTAAATATTAGAAAAACACTCGTATCTTCCGGGACTGCTTTCGTCGCGTTCGTTTTAAGTATCCCCGCAAAGATCAGCAGTCGCTTCAGCGCTATGGAGTATACATGAGTACTTAAAAATAAATTTGGCTGGTTAATTCCAGTTACTTTATACATGTAAAGTTATTAGGCAGTGTTAGATTTGCCGTCAGTCCTATTTCCATCTATAACGCGTAACGTAAAAGTTTTAGACGGCAGTTTACGATTTATATGGAATATACTTTCTCGTGTATACTTCCCGACCGAGACTCTAGATCGTATTCGTATTGTCGTACCACGGCGGCATCCATCTGGACGGCGTTTTGGGCCTTCCTCGCGAGACCGGTACCGGGACGTCGACGCTTCTGTCGGTACGCCTTCGGCGATCGCTGCTTCTGCCCGATACGCTCTTCGAGGCGTTATCCAGGATCACGAACGGTTGGTCGTTCGCGCGACGGTCCTGCCTGGTTCGGCCGAAGCTGGGCGAGTACGGCCTGGCGACCGCGTGGTCCTGAATCGCTGCACGGTCGGCCGACGGGCTGCGTACTCTTCCGGAAGACTGCCCGAGTCGACCGAATCCGCGCCGCTCGTTGTCGACGTCGCAGACGTGCAAACGATACGTCGGACTGGGAGATCGAGTTCTTGCGATCGCGCGATCCGCCAGCTCCAACTGCGTCGGCCTCGGCGCCGCCGCAGCCTGATGGGCTTGGGACAACCTGGAGCTCCTGGATTTCCGCGATTGCGAAAAGTTTTTAGAAAGCAAAAAGTGCTCTCTAAATCTGAATCAGTGAATAGTCACTGACTATCAATGGTTATTCATTGAATACATCAGTTCTAAGTATGTCTCTGATAATCAGCTGAAATTCAGCTTCATTGTCTCTCGGAAATTATACTAATAAAGAATTGAATAATCGTTGACAAATCATTGATTTTGGATTTCGTTGTTCTCGCTAATTGCACAGCGGATTCGGCTGTGTTTCACTTATTCATTAGTGATGCAGGGCGTTACTGATTCAATCAGTGACTTTTCCACTGATTCAGATTTAGAGAGTGAAAAATTTTCAAAATTCGATATCAATTTGATCTTAAATGTTTTTATATTTCCAAATTTCCATCTAAAGACAATTTTTTTACTTTAGTCAAGCAATTTATATTCGTCTCGAATTGCGACTTGAGTGAGTTTTTCTTTTCGTTTTTCTCAGACATCGACAAATTTAAACGTACCTTCTGCTGGCGGGCGGCGGTTTCCCGATGACGTTCTCCTCGTGGAGCCGCGTGTCCAGCACGCAAAAGGCGTCCTGTCCCTGCGCGACGGCAGTTTTCTCGCCAGTATTCGACCAGTAATGTTCCTTCCTTGTACTCGGGCTATAACGATCGCTCCGGCCGTGAGTGGTTCTAAGATCGTCGCAACTCTGACGATCGTATCTCGCGCAATAAACGTTCCTATACTCCGGTTGGAGGTCGAGATTACCCTCCAGTCGCAGATTGGCTGGCATCTTCAGCGTCTCGACCCTCGGCACGTATCCGTAGGGAACATACTGGGATCTCACCTCGCTGGTGGGGTCGTACTCGAACGCACGGCACTCCTGGTGCATCGGTCTGCCGAAGCACGCGCTGTTGCGACCGGAGGAGGACACTCCCGTCGGTCGCAACATCGTCGGCGGTTTACGGTAAACGGGACGGTCCCGGGGATAGTCGAGATACTTGGACTGATACTCTGGATCTTGATCGATCTTTATGGGAAACTTGGAGCGCGATGGCGAGGTCATCTTTGATCCGTCGGCGCGACCTATCTCGACGTCCGGCTTCGCGATCTTCGGTCGTTCACGTGGAAAATCCTAACGATTATAACAATGATTTCAAACAAGGCCGATATATGCAATATATATAGGTATATATATATATATATATATATATATATATATATATATCAACAAATAATGAGGGAAAAAGAGCCAACAGCTGAGGCTAGATGTCGGTTGTAAGAAAGTCGGTTGTAGCTTTATTATCGAATAAAGATCAATTTAATAGAGATGTGATATTATTTCTGATTTAAATTATAATTGCGTTCTTAAAAATCGCCAGTAATTGGCGGGCTGTTTACGATAGTTGAAATTTATAAAAGATTTAAAAAGAGATTTAAGAATATCATTGGGCAACCTGCCATCTAACCTCGATCGTAGTTGGCTCTTTCTATATTTTACATATGTCTAATTTTAATATATAATTATGTACAGCTCTTAATAGATCGATTTCCAATTACCTTATATGCGTCACGATATTCGGGAATTTCGAGCGGCCGGCCATTTAGATCTTCCAATTTCGACACCAACATTTTCATCTCCTCATCTTTGCGCCGCTCCTCCTCTTGCTGTCTCATCCATCTCTCTTCTTCGTTATTGTCTTTAGCCCGTTCAGCCATTTCTTGTGCCTGTTTAACGCAAGGATGAGCGAAATTTTCGGTGCTCTCGGTGTTTTGGTAAAAGTCTCCGCCAGCTTTTAAATGCATTTGAGGTTTCTGTGGCTGCGCTTTATCTGTAATGTGCACTCCAAAGAGAAGGGAATGATGACAGGAAAGGGGAATAGCTCTAAAGAAAACTACTATGTTTTTCTAAAACACATTTTAGAAACGATTTTATTATATCGTTTAAAATTCTTTTTAATTCATAAAAATATTTTTTTGAAAGAATTTAAATTATTTATCATAATTTATCATTTGATGTACGATTGCTTTTAAATTTAATGCTGTTACCTTTAACGGTATAATCCCTGAACACGTCGGTATATTCCGGCACGAAGTAGGTATCCCCCTCGAGCTTCAGATTCGTGCTCCGCCTCAACAACTCCGGTCTTCGCGCCCCCACGAACGGGACGTACTTGTCCTGATTTTCCGTCGCCGTCTCCAGCTCACCCTCCATCTTCAGGTGAGTGGGTACACGCATGAGCTCCGGCCGGCTAACGTTGAGCCACTCGATAAATTTCTCGCACTTCTCCGTCATGGTGTCCAAATCGCCTTCCATTTTTAGGGATGTAGGTCGACGTATGAGCTCGGCACGGTGCTGGCCCTCGTAAGGCACGTACGCAGAATACGTTTCCGTTTCGGGGTAAAAGTCACCGCCGCACTTCAAGCTGGTACCTCTTTTCGTGATGCAATAATGATGATGGATGATGGTTAAATTAATAGCGACGATAAAAATGCGTCGATTATAACGATTTGAAATAATCTCTGCAATTTACATTGTGCTTCAAGCTCTTTGATGATTTATATTAATGTCTGATTCTTATATAAATTGATTAAATACGAAAGTTTGAATTACTCAATGAACGAAATTATATTTTGAGATTTAATCTTAAATAAGGTTTGCGTATGTATTTTGCATTGTCATAAAGAATCTAATCATTTGCTTCGATTGACACACATCGGCAAAAAGTAATCTATTACGTAGTCATTTATCATTTGCGAAATAAATCGCGATACTTTGAAATATACGTTGCTATTTTATTAAATGTCTCGGATATCCAACAAAGAGTTGCAAGAAAGCAAAGAGCTTATTCCGTTGCCAATTTAGTTGCATGACAGTCAGTTTCATGCTTCTTCGATTTGCGTAAACTCGCGTGTTTCGGAACAGTTCGATACGATAAGTTTACGGATTCATGACGGGAAAGAAGTCTTCGTGAAATTAACTAAACGAATGGCCAAATTACAATTGGATATCAATCTACGTTAATGTATAATTTCTTGGTATTGCCTTCTTAATTTTACGATCTATATTTTACTAGAATGATACGTATTTTTACTAATACATTATTAATATACTAATATATTTAATTATAATAATTATTTTATTTTCCATTCATTATTTATAATTTCATAAATATATATTTAATAAATATATACGCGATTTCACAATTATACTACTTATGCAATTTATATCAGCAACCATTAAGTTTTACCTTCTGAACGAAGGACGTCTGAATGAATTGTCGAATTGCGGAACTCCCGTCTCCATCACTGTGTCTCCGTGAACCGCTTGGGAAGGAACGCTCTCCTTTTTTTCAGATAAATCCTCGACTGGCTCTTCTTCGTCTTCCTGCTCTTTAAGGTCCATGCAATACGAAGATTGCGCATTTTCGGGAGTTCCATCTACACGTAAATAATCTTCAGGCCAGAAATTCTCCTATTACATAAGTATATATTTGAACGTAAGTTAATGTACGATATGAAGAATATTAAAAAAGATAGTTTCACGAATGCAATTCCACAAAAATCTACATCTTATGTGAATACCTTAAAGAGCTCTTTAACATTTGCACCGAATGCGCGCCGATATTCAGAACCAGAGTACTGAACTGCCGATTCCGGCTGGGACTGTAAATTGTCCTTCGGTTGGTCCTGCACGCGTTTCCTCCGATAGCGGGCCAGCTCGTCGACCGTCAGTTCCCCGAGGAACGGCCATCTCTCCTTGGTCTTGCTCTTACGGCCTTTCCCCTTGCCCTTACCGTGCGCTACCTCGGAATCCGAGGACGACTTGCCGACGCCGCGAGTGGAGGATCTTTGCCTAATCGTAGTCGATCGGAAAGAGACACCGTTTAACAGTCATTTTACATATATTTGTAAATATCATTTTTATTATATAATATTATCTATTTTAATCGGTTTGCCATTAAAAGGAATTATTTGCAAAGTTCTTTTTTTTTTTAAATTTCTTGTAAAACTTTGCTAATTTGTATCGTCGGGTTCACAAGTTCGGGGCAAACAGGAGGATTCGCGATATGACGTGGATGGACAGCCTGAGCTTACTGAAGAAGATGACGAGGAGCCGAAGTTACCGAAGTCGCGGATTAGGGATATAGAAGGGCGAGCCGGCAGCAGCGGCGGGGGCGGGCGCGAGGGGGGTGACGAGGAACAGGAAGAGAGTGGTACGATGGTACCGTACATGCCGTTACAACGGCTCTCCCAGACGCGACGAATCGATCTGCAAAATGCGCGGAGCTTGAAAAATAAATCTCATCCTGGCCTAATGGCTCGCGCGCACGTCAGTCCTCGCGAATTCATGTCGACAATAAACATGATATCCAAGATGTCTCCGAAATATGTCGTAGTTTAGACTACTATCGAAATCGTGGAAAAGAAATTCTAGAAGCTAGATGAATCTGTTTCTTGAAATAAATTTTGATTTCTTATTAAAATAGCGTTCTGGAAAAACGCGAGGAGTGATAATGCGATCTTCATAATTAATAAATAAATTATTTATCAATCTGTTTTAATTAGAAATATCTATTATCTTCTCTATGTTATTTATAAACTGGTGAAGAATTCAATTGAGTAAATATATTTTTTAGATATTCTTATTTAACATATTTTTATCATTATAAAGTACATTTGCTCGAAAGAAGTTTGACATTTGAAAGATATCTTTATCTGGCGCCACTTTAACACTGCGATATCTGTTTTATCTTATTGTAGGTTGTTTTGAAATATATTTCGCGCGAATAAATTATATATCTAATATTTATTTATAAAAAGTATATAGGTATACGGAAATTGAAGTATTGATGTAACAATCCCCCCTCTCTTTTTCCGCCCATATTGTCCTGAGGGAGTGTTAGATCTAACGTGGTAGCGTGGCTGAACGGTCTAAAAAGCTACAGTTCAAGGTATCGGTCTCTTCGGAGATGTATTTTGCTTTTAGGCCCGGTTTCACAATTCTCGGTTAGCTCTCTTTAACCGAAGTTCAACTCGTTTTATCTTTTTCTAATCTAAGAATTAGAGAGAGATAAACAATAAATTAAACCGAGACTAAAGTTACTCTTACATTTGTGGAACTGGGTCTTGGAAGCTAAAGGAATTTTGATAATTATATCGCACGTCCTACAAAGATTTTTTTCCCCCTTCGATTTACAGCCTTCCGCATCGGAAATTTGATAACGCGAATCAACGATTCGAATCTGACAGCTTGTTTGACCGCCGTTTTATTCGGCGCGAATTGTATCGCGTATTCTTTTTTTTTTCTTTGTTCTTTCTCTCCCTCGCAGCTCGCGCTCGTCGATTTACTTCCCCCGGGTCGATTCGTAATGCCGAGGTTTCGTTTTGCACGACCCAATGGCCCCGATTTTAACGGACCCTACCCTATCCCCCACGCGGACTTTCTTCGCACGACAAATCTGTGTATATCGCGCGGCTAAATTAATGTCCGCGCCACGTGGCCCATGCACGCACTGGCCCGACACGCGACCCCCAGGTACGTACGACCGCCCCGGGTATATTCGTCGGCCGGTCAGTTGTTCTGCGGTCGCGACGCGTGATTCAATCTGAACGCATTTTACAGAGCCACCACAGTCGGCGGGCCGGCACGCGAGCTTTCTTCCCCCGTGGAAGGAATCCAGGCCGTGGCCATCAAAAGTCTCACCTATCTCTCGTCTCTGATCGCCACGCTCCTCGGATCGGTAACCCTCCAATTAGATGCGCGAGCGAGTCGAATTAAATATTTTATTTGTTCGGCGATACTTTAATCCTTATCCATTGTATATTTATTCTTCATGTAGTCCCGCGAAAAGAGTGCCGCATGACTCGTACGTATACTTGATTCGAGGCGTCTTTTTACCGCATTACTTTGTAAAATTAATGCAGCAAACGACATCCATCCCGTTTAAGCTGTTAAGATTGTCTATAGGCGTGATCTAACGATCGGGGGTAAATGGGATTAAATGGCGATGATCATTTAGTTGAAAGCACACCTGCGAGGTGCCCGCCACTTATCAAATTGAAAGATTCTCGAAAGTATCGCGCGTATAGACGGGAAATTAAATTAATGATATCGATGATCATAAATAATCTTCAATATTGAATAATAGATTATTTAGTAGCGGCCATATGCGGCTATTATGTTATACCCCATGTGTTACATAGAGCACGTGATAAGGGCACATAAGCGCCCTGATTGGCGTCTTGGATACGCATAGTAAATGCGCTTATACATATGTATTAGCGCAGCGTGCGCTAATATACGGTTTAATATAACACACACACACGTTTTCATTATTTAAAAAAATATATTTTATCTTATCATATATTGTATCATGTAATATCTGCATATTACTATAATTGCAGTAGTAATTTATTTATTTATATCTTTCGCTTTTACTTGAACGGATATCTTTATAGAAGAAAATTATTTACGAGCAAAAAATATTATCAATCAATTAAAGTAATAAATGATTGTTTTTAAGAACAAATTGTTAGATGTAACTACCTATCTCTATTATCTTACAATTAATACAGAAAATTGCGGAAAAAGAAAGCATTGGTGGAAACCAATGCTTTCTGAAATGAAATTACGAGACTGTTTATTTTAAACCGCGTATTATTTTTCACATAAATAAACAACGGACTTCATTTGATTGAGAAAAATAATAAATAAATAAATTGTGAAAAAGGGTAATTTGATATTATTTTTGATATAAATATCGGCGTTTTGATTGGACTAACGTCTTTATCTCGCGAATTCGAAGATTTAAATCTTTACGGAAACGGCAGTGCGAGCGAGCAAATCATTGTTCTACGAATCCGAGTTAAGGGTTTAATTAAACGGCGTAACGTGTACAGTTCGATCGGGTGGCAAGAAGCAGCGCGAAATGTTACCTTTTGCCGGGACGGTCGCTTTTGCCCTCGCCCATCGCATCGTCCTACCCAGCGGTTGCCCCGTCGAAGGATGCGAGGTGGTGACGGTCAAAAAGAGCGGGGGATGTATCGCCTCCGGGCTGGGTATTCGCGGTGATGAAATGAAGAAGAGGGAAAGGTGCGAAGGAAGATGTGTAAACCGAGCCAAGCCTTCCTTCTGGCGTGACTGGCTTTTCGGAGATGTTGATAAGAAGGTGAAGCCGGTGCGATACACCTGCGCAGTTGCGAGGGTTGATCCACCCCGCGCCGCGGTAGGGTGGATAGGTGGTTTTGAGACGCCGGCTTAGGTGAACCTGTCAAGAAGCGAGAGAAAGTTAAAATTCTGAGGTCAGAATTATAAAAGAGGGCTGCTTCGACATAAATCACTATGCCGCGGACGCAATGCGCGTATTTTATTGGAATTAGTTTTCAATCTTAAGGAAATTTATTATAAAAAATTAAAATTAATAAAGTATTAATTAAATATTGAATCTATTACGTCACATGTAAGAAGAATACTATTAAGAATAATTTCCAAATATTTAATTCGCCTTATCATATTTATTAATCTTGATGGATCTTATTTAGATTCGATAATTTAATTGAGCAACTCTCATAAATAAAATTATAAATATTATAAATTTTATCGATAATGTAAATTGATATTATAAATTTAATTTCATACATATATAAATATTAAAATGTGTCACATATATAAATATGTAATAACATATATATATTATAAATTTAGTTAATGCATATTTACATATGTATCAATTAATCATTATCATATCATAATCATTCATTCATTCATATTTATGTGTATCAATTAAAACGTATAAATATGTATTAATTAAATTTATAACATTATTACATTTAAGTTTTCAATATATATATACATATTATTACAATTTATATATATATATATATAATATATATATATATATAAAGATATAATAATAAATATATTAATAACAAATTTTATTTTAATTTCTTTTGATGCAAATTATTTTTAATTCTTTCTTTTAATGAAATTTGAGCGGTTAATTAAGTACTTGGTTTAGAAAGTATTATTAAATTTAATATAAATTAAAAAATGATTTATATTTATTCTGATAAAAAGGTATATAAATAAATCCATTAACAACTATTATTGGTTTCTCTGATGTTTTTTCTAAGAAGGAATACAATTGCAATTTTAGTAAATTAAGAATTGTGATCTTTTTAGATTAATTAAAACAATTCCATAAACTTAACATTACTTTATTTTCTTTATTTATTATAATCATATAATTTCAATTATGCTTTCAAAATATAAACAAATTTTTAGTGTATTGTATTAGAAAAAAAAGAATACTAATTATTTTATTAATTTCCTTAAATTCTTTTTGATCAAAATGAAGATAAATTTTATCTGAATCAGTAGCATATGTATTGAGGTCATGTATAATCTGTGTATTAATTGAGGTTGAAAAAGATTAAGTATGTTTATACAACACGAAAAAAAATTCAATCTCATCTCGAAAACCTCTCGAAGATACTTATTAATATTAATCAGAGATTAATTTTTTTAAAAATCCTTTAAACACGTCGCATTTCATGTCTTCATCGTCTTTGCTGTATTTCCGGCGGAACCGGAAATATGTATCAGATTGTGTACGAAACGCGTTACTCATTGGGTGATCGAGAACGATCGTAAACGCGGCTACGTAGTTCGGGATGCGCACGTCTCGCGAACGCGGAGTCGCTAACGTACGGATTCCCATCTCAGGAATGTGGATGCCAGCGGTCGCCACGATCGCGATCATCTGATCGCGGCTGTCAAACTCCCCGTCCCCGCACTCCCCGCCGTTTCCCGCTGCCGTGCGTGTGTCGCATCTGTTCCGACGTGGTTCGACGTCGGACTGTCGTAGTCGGACACGAGCGGGAGTGGAAATGTTCCGGGGAGACGTGCGCTCCTGAGTGTCGTGGCATCGCTCTCGGCTGCAAAATGCTCGCGAGGCGGTAGTAGTATATATCGGCGATAATGAACAAGAACATGAATTCACCGTCGAAGCTCACGGAGTTCGCTCCGTTGAGCCCCGAGGAGAGCCAGCCCGTCGTAGCCTCGCTCTTCTCCAAATTCTTCAGCTTCACCAGGAGTCAGTATTCGCAGTGTAGATCTATATTGCCTTTTTGACGCGTATAAATGTACAGTTTATCGGCCGTGTCATTACTACGCTGATTGAACATTAATGTTTTGTTTTTTTCAGTCATTATAGTAAACGAAAGCACTTTGTCAAGTATCTTATTCGAGAGCATATTATAATACATATGTGTTATTATAATAGCTCTCGAATAAGATACTTAGCTGGCAGTTAGTGCTTTCGTTTATTATAATGACCAAAAAAAAAAACCAGTCTCTCGTGCAACGAGTAAATAATTTCTAATCATTGTGATCGATATTTAGATAGCGCTAACGATTCCACGGTGTCCTCCAACAACGACGAGCGCAGCTCCTCCGACTCGGAGTCCTGGAAGCAGTCGGAGAGCACGGAGCAAACCCCCGACGACGATAGCGGTAGTATAATAAACTTTCCGCTGGACACCAGCGAGGGCCGTAGCCTACCAAACGTCCTGAAGCGCATCAGTAATATCGTAGCGTTAAAAAGTAACGTAAGTTTTCGAAGACGTTTCTATATACGAGTGCGTTTTATCTTACATGTGCTTTACACAAGAGTTCTTGCAATAACAAGTATTCGTATCGCCGCAGAATCTACGTTCGTACAAGGATTCGCAGTTGAGAAGCTACTGGATGCCAGATAGCGTGAGCAAACAGTGTTACGAGTGCGGCGAGAGATTTACGACGTTTCGGCGCAGGCATCACTGTCGCGTATGCGGACAGATCTTCTGCTCCAAGTGTTGCTCCGATCAGATACCGGGGAAAATCATGGGGTGCACTGGTATTAGAAATATTATAAATATTAATAATTTAGAGAAATAGGCTCGCTACCCAGACAGCAAAAATATTCGAAATAGATCATAGCGATATCCTAAAGATATCGCATATTCCAAATGTATCTTTAGGATATCCCTACAATATATTTTGGACACTTTTGCTAAGTGAGTAGAATATATTGAACCTATTAAAGTAGAGGCCGTATGCGAGCCAACTATTGTAAAAAAAATTATTACACCATCATCCGTGTTGGCTCGCATATACGGCCTTTACTTTAATATATTCGAAATACATGTATATTTATACAAATGTGTGTATCCACGCGCGTGTGTGTGTGTGTATATGTAATTCTCTACGTTATTGTTTCTTTTTGTGTTTTTTTTCAGGAGATCTTAGAGTTTGTACATATTGCTGTAAAGTAGTTCTTTCTTACTTGCAATCGTCGGACATGAGGAGCGACTTGTCGGCGGATTTGAAGGCCGTGCAGGAGGACCTTCAGGTGAAGTACGGAAATGACTCGCCGCTGTTAGCGCGGAAACACGCTAACGAAGCTATAGGCGACGAAACGTCGATATGTCGGAAGCCAAGCGTGGGATACATGGAGGAGAATTATGCGACTGAGCGGTACGTTAATCAATTAATCTACACGTATATTTATTTATATAGATACACACTTGTTTCTTACAATTTGCGTTTGTCTTTCACAGGTCGAGCGGTAGCTATTTAACGTCGCAGGAACGCTCCCTCGTGTTACAAAATTCGGCTTCTCTAAGGATGATCTGGGAGGAATTGTTCCGCTCCAGTCAAGCCATCCAGTTGCAGACCCATAGGATCCGACTGAAGAGCTATCACAATTGTTTCCTGGCGAACGAATTGGTGAATTGGATGATCGTGCAGAATAAAGCGGCAACTCGGTACGCCGATCCGACAGCATTGAATTGTTATATTTAATCGCCGACAATTCTACTTCGAACTAATTGTGACTTGCGCTTTTTTTTTAGCGTTCAGGCGACTGCGATCGGCCAAGCGTTGCTGGAAGCGGGTTTCATCGAATCGGTTGTACCTGATTACGTGTTCAGCGATTCGGCGATCATATTCAGACCGGTACCGTTGTCCTCCTTGCAGAACATAGACTTGTTGACGGAAAAACGGACGACTTGCGACGCGCAAGAACCGGCCTGGGTAAAAACCATTCCTCAGCATGATTCGGCTACGGGTAAGATTGAAATTTTCCCACGACGGGACGTGGCACGTTGCTCAACGACGTTCGCAATTTAACTTACAGATTCCGAGAGCGAGACCAGACCGATGAGCTCGCACTCGCAGACCTTCGGCCGTTTGCCGTCGTCCAGCTCGAGCTTTTATCTGGACTTGAATCTGGAGGCGTCCACCGTCACGTTAAAGAGACCGACCTCGGAGGATTTAACCGCGATCTCCGTCGACAGCAGCGACGGAATAATCGAGCAGAAGGAAATCAATCTCAAGTTGCACGACTGCAATCTCAAAATGTGTGACGATCTTTTAAGTGATACCCTACAAGTGCACGAGTTCAAGGAGAAAAACGGTTGGCACCGAGCGACTAATCTGAGAACAGCCTTCGGCGAATTAAGCGCGTACGAGTGTTTAACGTGAGTCTTTCTCAGTATATTTAGTAGTAATGATAATAACAGTAAACTAGAAAAGTAAAGGATATTTTTGTATCCTCTAGGTCTGCGTATACGGCGCATGAAGATTCTCTTATTAAGCAACTTCTTAGCAAGGAAGGCTTGTCACAAACGTGGTCGAATACGATTCTGTCTATCGCGCATCAGATAGTCGATCACGTTAGACCGGATCTGAATCACGACGCGGACAATCTGGACATCCGACAGTACGTGCAGTTTAAGAAGTGTCCCGGTGACAGCAGAGACGACTGCGAGATCGTGTCCGGGATAATTTGCAGTAAGAATATCGCTCACCGCGGTATGAACGCCATGATCGCTAATCCGAAAATCTTGCTGTTGCAATGCGGATTAATGTATCAGCGTGTGGAGGGCAAGCTGATAAGCCTGGAGCCTGTAATGCTGCAGGTACATTGTAAACTTTTATCATTCTCGCTCGATTAATCCTGATTGTGTCGTTTTTAAAATAATATTTTTAAAGCTATATTTTAATTTCCTGAACAAATTCCTAGGAGAACGAGTATCTGGGGCACACAGTGGCGAGAATCACCGCTCTGGGCCCGGATGTAGTGCTAATACATCGATCCGTGGCCCGATTGGCTCAGGACAGACTGAGGGAGTGCGGCGTGACATTGGTGCTGAATGTGAAGCTCAGCGTACTGAAGAGAGTCGCGCGATGCACGGGCGCCAGTATTGTAAACACCATAGACGCGCACATAAGCGCGAGATATATGCTTGGCACGTGCAAGAAATTCTATTTAAGAAATTTTCCGGATGAACGAAGTAAGTAATTCACATGTATATAAAACATATTTCATATAATATTATAATAACTTTAATTCTCTCATCTGCAACTTTTTCTTTTCTCTTTCAGGAGGTGTCAAGACGCTGATGTATTTCGAGGGCTGTGCAAATCCGCATTTAGGCGCGACGATCGTATTGCGAGGCGGCTCGCGGTCCGAATTAAAGAAGGTGAAAAACGTCACGGCGATGATGATCTTCGCGGCTTACTCGTGGCGCCTCGAAAAGTCATTCCTCATGGACGAGTTCGCTAAACCGCCGTCACCCAAGGACAACTCGTTTCTGGACGAAACGTCGCAAAAGGATTTCACGAATGGCGAGGAGATCGAGAAGCTCGAGAGCAGCGTTACCGACGAGCACGCGATCGACGCGAAGAAACCGTCAAAAATAAATCAAAGTCACGAAATTATTCCTAATAGTGAACAAAAATTACAAAATATCCAGACAAATAATTCAAGTATGCCTGTAAAGAATGAAAACGTTGACTCTGAGAACATTTTAAGTGCAAATTCTCTGAGAGAAGTTTCGTCGATGTTATCGGAGGATCCTTACGACACTTTAAAGTTGTTTAAGGCGAAATTAAAGCCATCTCTGCACGATTCGAAGAATGCCGCGCCAGTGTCCTGCGAGAGCGATACCGTTTCACACAACGACGATAAATCTAAAGATTTGAATACCTCGGGCACTGATTCCGATATCGCGGAGGTGTGTAACAACATCACAGAACTGTTCGCGAGCAAGGACGCGTGCGTCGAGCAGAAGACCGACGAGCTCGACAAGGCGAAGTTAAAAGACAGGATATCATCCGAAGAGAAGCGTATCTACGGGGAGTCCATAAGCGATCGGAGCGATCCGTTGCATCAGTATTTGAACGAGGACGACGAGGATGTGTTTAATCGCACGAGTCCGAGCGGTCAGCGTCTGAGCGTCGCCGATTTTCCGCTGTTCAACAAATTCAAGAAGGCGCTCGAGGACACGGTGCTGAGCGTGTCGCCGTATTTGAAATTCTCAATACCCTACCTGGAAACCGAACCCGGGCGGAACTGCGTGCTGAGAAGCTTCTTCCCGCGTGAGATCTACTACTCGGCGCAATTCTTGGACAACGTCAAGGAGACCAGGACGAACAGCGTGACCGCGAGCGAGCCGTTGGCGTCCGAGGGTCGCGAGTGGATGAACGTCAAGCTGAGGCCGCAGCATCCGTTCGTCCAGGCTCGTCTGACCACGGACGCCGACGGTCGCGACGTGCAGAGCCTGCTGGCGAACTTCCGCGCGTGCGGCAACAGACTTTATCCGACGCACAACGTGTTGCTGGACAGGACGATGTTGCAGCAGCAGCAGTCACCGGTCGCGTCGTTCGAGAGCAACGAGCAGCCGATGCCGTCCTGGCCGGATTGCCTGGACCCCAGCAGCCACCAACGCCTGTCCGTTCTGTTCTGCAGCTTCTCGCACACCGGCAACGACACGCCGGCGTTCTGCGTGAATCCCTGGGTGGTGAACATGACGATGTACGGCCAGAACGACATCGCGCTCGGCCGCTTCCTGGAGCGTTACTGCCTGACGACGGAGTACAGGTGCCCGGCGCAGAACTGCCGCGCGCAGATCGCCCAGCACGTCAGGCGCTTCGCGCACGACGGCGGCTGCCTGCACATCAGCCTCAGCGAGATGAGCTGCGAGCCGTTCGTGCAGGAGGACGCCGATCAGATCCTGATGTGGAGCAAATGCGTCAGGTGCAAGAGCGTGTCGCCGGTGGTGCCGATGTCGGGCGACACGTGGTGCCTGTCGTTCGCCAAGTACCTCGAGCTGCGCTTCTACGGCGGCGTCTACGCGAAGCGCGGCATGGACGCGTGCCAGCACTCCCTGCACCACGATCACTACCAGTACTTCACGCGCAGGAGCATGCTGGCGGTGTTCAAGTTCACCAAGATCTCGCAGTGGGAGATCTCGCTGCCGCCGCCGTTGATCAACATCATCTACGATTCGAAGCAGCACGCCAATCTGATCGAGGAGATGAAGAGCGTGACGTTGAAGGGCGACGAGGTGTTCACGGCGATACGGGAGAAGCTGACGAGTCTGCAGACGGACCTGGAAGGCCTGAACCTGGCGAAGCAGCAACTGGCCAAGGATCAGCAGTACTTCAGGAACAAGATCGAGGAGATCCAATTGAAGCTGACGTCGCCGACGCTCGAGAACAAGAAGCTGGAGGGCAAGACGTCCGAGAGGCAGGTGCAGAGTCTGATGTTCAGAATCGAGGACGGCATTGTGATACTCAAGCGGCTCATCGCGGAGGCCGTGTTCACGTGGAACAACAAACTGTCGGAGATCTCGGCCAAGAAGAAGGACGAGCGGCCGCGACGATTCACCGAACGGTCCATGACCGTCGGCAGCAACAGCATCGTCGAGAACGACGGGTACATAACCGAGGACACCGCGTCGGAGTCGCAGGTCGAGGACCTGAGTCCCATGTCGGCCGACTACAATGCCGTCGACGCGATCGCGGCGGCGCAGAGCGACCTCCAGGCGCCCGAGCCGATCGAGAATTCTGACAACGAACCGACAGCGGAATCCGCCAATAATCCCGACGACCCCGTCGCCACCGTTCAGGACTCGCCGAGGATGCATCAGAGATCGCACTCCGACGTTCTGCCGCTGTCCTCCGACGACACTCAGGATAAGAAGAAGAAGAAGAAGACGATCCTGTCGCAACTGCTGCCGTCCGTTTCCGTGAACCACACGATTACGAATCCTTTGGGACCGTTGGAGCACTACCTGTTGCCTCTCGGGTATGTTGATTCATATTCTCAATCATAGTGTGATAATCATAATTCATCGAGATTTTAAGGACAATAGGAATGGCAGAGTGAGATTGAATTATTTTTTCATAGAATATTGATATTGATATTCATTTTGAATATTTTCATAGAAGAAAAAAGAAACTCGGGTAATGAAAATTCTCTGTTGCAGGTCCGTGGTGCCCATAGTGGTCTACGAATCGGAGCTTTCGTCCATAATCGCGTACGCTCTGGATTCGCACGACTACAAGCACGCGTTGCAGGAGCTCTTGCGCACGACGAAGGGACCGGAATTGAACCCGAGTCCGCTGAGCAAACGCAAGTTTCCCGAAGGTAGGGACAGCTCCCTCGACCTGGCGCAATCGAGCGAGTTCAAGCGGCCGTCCGTGCTGTCGTTTTTCCGAGGCAACAGTCCCAATTCAGCCAGCAGTCCCATCGAATCCGACAAGAATGTGTCAAGCGCGGAAACGAGCGGTGGTGGTGGTGGTGGTGGTGGTGGTGGTGGTGGTGGTGGTGGTGGCGGCGGCGGCGGCGGCGGCGGTGGCGCCGTCGGTCCCGACGTCGACGACGACAAGAAGGCGACCACCAAGCAGCAGAACTACATCGAGGTGCAATTCAACGACTCCACGACCAATTTCTTCTGCCGGATATACTTCGCCGCGCAGTTCGCCGCGCTGAGGGAGAACGTCCTGCCCGGCGGCGAGGACGGCTTCACGAGAAGCCTGAGTCGAACCGTGCAGTGGACAGCCAGAGGCGGAAAGAGCGGCAGTGCCTTCTGTAAGAGCAGAGGTATGATGTCGTACGGTTTGCTTAATTATCAATTTTACAGATTATATATTTAAATATGCACTATACAATTAATCTGCAGTAAGATAAAAGAAAAAAATACACGAAAGTGTTCGATGGTCTATGATCTATCTTTAATTGCTTTTGAATGTAATACATTATTCGAGATATATTTCCCTTTGCAGATGATCGATTCATCATAAAGGAAATGTCTCGACTCGACATGCAGATCTTTCTCGACTTCGCGCCCAACTATTTCGCCTACATGGAGAGGTGTCAGCAGACCAAGCAACCGACATTGCTGGGCAAGATAGTTGGCGTGTACAGAGTGTCGTTCAAAAACAACACGACCAACGCGGCGCTCCGTACCAGCGTGCTAGTAATGGAGAATCTTTTTTATAATCGAATCATCACTGACAAGTTCGACCTGAAGGGATCTGTGCGGAATCGGCTGGTGAATCCGGACGACACGTGCCACGAGGGTGAACTGGTCTTGCTGGACGAGAATTTGTTGAACAGTATGTACTCTCTCCAAGTGCCCGAGCTGAATTAACTGCTTATCGTTTTGGTAAGATTAACGATAACGATTCGAATTTCAGTGAGCTGTGACTCTCCTCTGTACATTCGATCGCATTCCAAGGCAGTATTAAATCGCGCTATCGAGCAGGACACCAAATTCCTGGCCGACAACTCCGTGATGGACTATTCGTTGTTGGTAGGCCTGGAGCCGAGCTCCGACGAACTCGTGCTCGGTATAATAGGTGAGAATGAGTTGCGTCATATTATCGTCTCTTCCGATATCGGTCCCCTCCTCCTCTTTCTCATGCCTGTTGTCTCTCGCAAAATTCGCACAGATTACATAAGAACGTTCACGTGGGACAAGAAGCTGGAGACGATGGTGAAGAAGTCCGGTATATTGGGTGGCCAAGGTAAACTGCCGACCATAATATCGCCGGAGGAATACCGCGCCAGGTTTATAGCCGCGATGCACCGCTACTTCCTGCCGGTGCCGGACCGATGGTCGGGTCTGGGTAGAAGCGTCGAGATACCACCGCAACAATAAACACTCGACTCTCAGAGGGCTAAGAGAACACGAATGCGATTTCGCGGCAATTACATAATCGATGTAGACCTTTTTTTATGCGCGCGCTAGCGGAAATACGAGAGCGCACCGTCGTGCACCTTCGTCCGTGTATTTGTACATATTTTATACCGTGATAGCGTACTCGAGGAAATATCGATGAAAAGTGATATCGATAGTTACCAGTTTTTAAATAACTTATTAATTGCTACGTTACGCAAATCAATATTTTAACTTCTTCGTACGGAAGTAACTTCTACGGCTGCTCGTGAGAGATTACGTGTACATATATCTCCTATATACATCGTATGCATTTAGGCAAGTGTATACGTATGGCAATCGTTTTGTAATATGCTTCGAAAGCAGCTGCTCTTAAAGTACAAAGGCACCAATGAAACCGCAAGACTTAACGCAGAAGAGAAGAAAAAAAAAAGCACCATTTAATCAATATTTTATTTAATTTTTCAAAATTATGTACATTATGACCATTATCTGTCTCTCTTTGTAATAGTCAAATAAACAATCATAATTTCAACATAGTAAAACATTCTCGTTTTCTCGTCGACAGTTTTTTTTATATCATCTTTTAAATACAGCCTAGACAGTACACAAAACGTAAGGAAGATATTTAAAGCGTGTACCTTATTGGAAAAAATATCTCGCACTTCACGGAGTACGTTTTTTGTTTTTCTTACGACTAAATATCTACTATTATTTACATAAACCCATTAACAAAGTTATACGACGCCTGGATATAAACTATTGCGTGAAAGTTAAAATCGTCAAATTAAAACTTGAACTTATAAACTTTTATTATGATCGAGACTACTATTATGACTACAAATAAAAGGATCGAATACATCATATTGCATCCGTAGACATTTTGCTGTCGGATATATCGAGAGATTATAAAGAATAAAGAATTCTCTGTTAGTTTTACGCGTTAAGGATCCTGTTTTTTTCACTACAGCCGCATTAAATTACAATATTTAACAACAGCGTAAAACGCGAATATTTTTTCTGTACAGAGAAATAGAATAATCTTCTACATTCTTCTGCACACTTAATATATTGATTGATAAAATATATTTGAAAGCTCTTTTTAGTTTATGCAAATTTAATTTTTTTATTAAAAAATTTGCAAATTTCCATAAAGTTATGATGTTCATTCTCGTTGAAAAAACATTCATATACTGCACTTACTAATGCTAAATAATAAAGAGACTTTTTTCAAAATATTTTATCAATTATATTATCTAATGCGAATAACAAACGAAAGAACTAATTCATTTGGATAGCATTTGGATAGAAAAAAATTATAGGTATAACTTCTCATCTCGGATGTTACAATTCAATGAGGCTACAGTGAAGGAACGGATGCCTCAAACAGGCTTCTATAAAAAGCTGTGAAGAACTAAATTCGCTGCTACATCGAATAAATAGAGTCTTAATGAAAAACAAGTATGTATCTATAGTACGAATAATTGTCCATGTACGTGTTACGAGAAATATAATGAAAGATACAGAGAATATATTCCATATATTCGGATATTGATATACTATGATATCAGAATCAGTATTGCCAGCTGCCATACAAGAGCATTTTCTTTTTTATTTGTTGTGAACATCGTAAAAGTCTAGTGCTGCGTAAAACCAGGCAGTAATCTCTATCTAGTATACTCGCGAGTTAGCCGAAATAATCGAATTCAAGAATTCCTCGCTGCTCGTATTCACCGGGTTTACTCTATTAAATTCCTGAATCAATTCTTCAGACTATTATATCACTCTCTGTCTCATTCGACTCGCGAGATCCCCTCCTCGATTTTATTTTACTTACTTTTTACATAGTCACTTTATTCTGTAAAACGAACGTTACATAACTCGGGATACTCTTTTTACAAATTTTTACACGTTTCAGAGCTTCGTTTATTATACTTAGCCTCGTTATATTTATACCATCGAAATATCGCTTATGTATATGGAAACGGCACGCGTCGCGCGCGTACCGCAAGCATCACTATTTTAAGAGAAACAGCGAAAGGATCGTAGTAAAACGCTCGAGTTCCGTAGAACTGAATTAATGTCCGCGGAGAGTTCCATCGTAGCGATGGATCCTTCCGTCTACATTAAAAGATATACGTACATCCTCCCGTCATCTTCCGCCGAAAAAGGTGCGATAAAGTAAGGTTTTCAAATAGTTAATCGAGAGGAAATTGTAACCTCGCAACTCTTTTGTACTGTGGTGTGTGGAAGTGATAGTGGAAAATTCATCGCCTATATAGTCTAACGGTGATGTACGGTGAAATCTGAGAAAACAGTCACGTGTCTACAGCATCTAAGGGAGACAAGGAAGTCAGATTGGAGTGAAGGAGTCGTTCTCACAGCGACTATTTCCAAAATTTATCGATGTCTTCGACCTATATGAGAGATGTGGTCCCGACGTGATCGGAGAAAAAGAAAAGAAGAAGAAGGCTCTTTGATATGATTTTCGTCTCTTCTCCCTCCCTCCCACATTCGCATTTCGTGGCCGGCTATACATAAATATAGCGGGCGCTACTCTCAACGCGTGCCATTCCACGCTAGACACCTCTCGAGGAGGCCGAGAAGGAAATCCAGCGGATCGAAATATACGCTTCGCACGCCTCTCTCGGCCATCGTCGGGCAAATCAACACACTCGGACTTAACTCGCGCGTTCCGCACGTAACACAATGTACACGTCGCTTATTGTGCGTGAATAACGTAAGCGATTCAATTGTAGCAATCCAATCTGCAGAAAACTATCTTCCGTTACATAGTTGCTGCGATCGTGAATTTTCCTCGTTCTCTCTCGGGAAGGAACGCGTCTTTTTTTCAGAAGACAGGAAGTTTCCTCTCTTTTTTTTCTCTACATGTAACGCTTTTCACTTCCCTCTCCCCCTCTCATTCTCTCTCGTTTCAGTGCGCTTAGAGCGCACACGTGTTTTGTTCACCGGAAACGTTATCGCGCGCATCTACGTGACGTCTCGTGCTCGCGCATCGCCAATTAGCACAGTCATTTTTATCTCTGCGGCTCGCCCAGGCCGAATTGCGTTTGTTGGGTCTGCGTCTGTTGCTGTGTCGTGTTGCCGGACGCGCTACACCGGCCACCGGCGGTGTGATGCTGCACGATGCCCACCATCGGCGTCGAGTTCGCCTGAAATCCATTCTGGCTCGGAGACATGCCTGCAACACGTTTTACAAAACAATCCCTCACTATATACCGTAATTTATTGCTTTACGATGGTAATATATATATGCGACGACTGATACCTTTTTTTGCTTAATTATATAGCACAGACATAATATGTTTAGCCTAACATTTTACCGGTGATATTTTCGGAAAAGCTATTATCAAAATAGGCAAATAAAAAAATGCTATGTTACGTAATTGATTTAACTGATAACAGGCCAGAATGTGTAAAACCCCGTTAAATTGATTATATTTTGTGTCTGTAATTTTACGCCCCGTGTAAAACAAACAAAAATATTTTAACAAATTAGATTACATGTGGAAGATATACAACACGTATCGGAATCATATAAACGCTCACTAAAACATATATGGCATGTAAAATTATAAACAGAATTCTGTTCTGAATTTTCACGCGAATTACAGTTCGCTTAAAATAAGTTTGCAAGACAGTTTCTATGATATTTTTAATTGCTAGTAGCACATTAAGATTGCAATTGTCATAATTAATAACTTACCCGATGGAGTTTTTTCACCTGCAGACATTTTGGAAAACGCCAGCAGCGCGTCTGGGAAATTCGGCGGAGTGGCTGGCGTGTTGCATGGCGTTATCTGGAAGTACAAGAAACAGTTGTCTCTTTAGAAATGTTCAAAATCGTCGATGAAAATCTTTTGATTCGCCGAATAAATTCCTTCCTTTAAATCGTATTACTTTTACCTTTATTTTATAAGAGAAATAAGGAAACGAAAATTCCTTATTTTAAAACAAAGAAGTTTCCAAACAAAACTTACAAATCTAAAAATCAAGATTTACAAATAAGACTTATACAATACTTTAGTACCGGAAATATGATATTATTGCAAATAACAGTATTTGCAAAATGAAAATAAAATCTTCGAAGAGACAATTTCGATAAAAATTCCTGTGTTTTAGATTTCTTCAAATAGTGAGTTCTGTAGTTCAAATAGTATTCTCAAGTGGAGAATCGTAAAACATTTGTTCACAAAATTGGAAAAAAAATAAAAACTGGTCTAAAGCAAGCGTACGTGTATTTTCCACCAGAAAGACTAGATCGAACAAGAAGTCTATCGGACATGAAAGACCATTAGCTAACGGGGTTGTTGAACCTACTCCTGTATGTGACGACGATCAGGTACACGGATACGGTGGCCAAACAATACAGGGACAAGTGTATTAGCATGGCAACACGGCCAGCTGCGATAATTCGCCGATAAGCGACTATTAAATAACCGCCATTGACACGAGGCACTCTCACAAAGTGAACCTTGTTGCTTTTGTGTTTTCAACGTGTTTCATGAATGAACTACGTAATTGTTCCAGATAACAGTATCTCAATTAAAATGATCGAACGTTTCAATGACCCCGACTATTCTTAAAAATTTCAGTAATAAAATTCTACAAAGGATTATTCACAAAATATGAGTGAGATATTCTTTTCGTTTTATGTTTTTTTACTCTCTGAATTAAACGGTTTCGCTTTTATTTTTCGTTCTCGTACTTTCGACTTTTTCGTGCGATCAAATAATTATTTTACGAAAAGATTAAAAGACACTAGATATTCAGCGTCTTTGATTGTTCGATTTGTATGCGCGAGGAAATCATAAAAATAAAAATAATCTTTTTTTCATAATAAATTCTACTTTTTATCACATTACAGAAAATAAATTCTTATTTTTTTATCAAGCGTATAGATATATGTATTTATGAAACATTTTAAATTTTAACAGTTCGATGAATTTAAATTAAAAATTGAACAATTTTAAAGCAAATACATATACATAAAGGATCACTTAAATATATCAATTATTTCTTTCATGATTCATTTTATTATTCTGTGCAAAAAAATATTTAAATAAAACCATTGAAATATAAAATAATTCTATACGGTATTTCATATTTTATATCCAAATGTATCAGAATAAAATATAAATTATCTCGTAAACTGTTGGCTTTTTAAATCTTAATGTCGATTTTATTTTAATATTTACGCAATACGAGAATTAAATTATGCATAAAAATTGTGATTTTATTTAAAGATACACATCGTATCAATGATGTGTACGGTTTGAAAACAAAAGATTTGTAGCATGCATTCTATTTCCTTTCTAGAATTGTAATAATTTTATTTAACACATTTAGACCTGGCTCCACAAAAGTAAGATTCATTTTAATCTCGGTTAAACTTACTGTTCATTTCTTTCTATTTTTTAGATTTACTTAATGTTCATAATACATTATAAAATACATTACAAAGTAATGTGCGCACCATGCGCTCTGAATAACTAAGCAAAATACTTTTGTCCTTGGATAGAGATGAAACGGTATGCAAATTACAGCAAACGAAGATAATGTGACCGATTGTGGGGCAGATGCGTGAAATAAAAGAGAAGCAACGTGTGTAGTATGAAGTATGCGTGTGGTGATGCACATCCAGATACCGCGGGCGAGATTTGGCACACGACCGATCGGAATGTGCCGTGGCCGAACGAGAATAGTAACGCTTACTACTGACTGTAGCTTGGCTGTCGCCAATGGTTCTCCTCAGTCTTTTGTCTCGGGAGCATCTCACCTTCGCTCTCATTAGATATCGGAGCTAACGCGAAAAAGCTGGTCTTGACATTTGCCGGTGTGGAGGCCTTCGCAACCGGTTTTCTCAACGCGACTGCTCAACTCGCATGAATTTATTGACCTGTCAATTATGATCGTTTAAGCAATTTCCAGATAGAACGTTATTGCGCCATTTACTTTCATTGTGTTATTGCGTTATTGCGTCAACCCCGGAGCTACAAATTGGATCTCTCGGACACGAGACGTTTTACTTTAAAATGCAATTGTCTTTCGTCGAAACTCTTAAACGTCTATGTCGACTATGAATCCGATGATTATTTTTATATCTTGATTTTGATAATACAAATATTATTTGATATCTCAAATAACTTTTAATTCATTATGTGCGTGCCAATTAATAAACGCTGTATATACAAAGTATTGGATCTTCCGGAAAAATGAAGAGTAAAGTTTACGCAAACCCGATCGGGTTACCAGAACAAACGTACAACATATATCGATGCGTCTGTAAATCGAGGAAATCACGTCGGGATATTATAAGACCCGGTTTTTTTTTTATTGGTCGCGGAAAGGCCGGAGGTAGAGGGACATAAACTGGAAGTGTTTCGAGTTCGTCATCGCTGTACTGCCACCTCGCACAGCTATACGAAATTATGCGGGACAAAGAAGCTCGCAAGACCGGGCAATTAATCAAAGAGCGGCGTAAACCGCCGTCGCGGAAGGGACGACAGTCAACCTCGTGAAGGTCAGACACGCGCTAGAATCGATTTTCCTGCCTGGTGTGTCTGCACATTAACGCGCCGCGACGACGAGAAGAGGACGAGGACGAAAAAGATTTCGTGAATTGGCCGCCCGCCGCCCGGCCATATTATGTATATTCCGGGGTCCGCGCGCCCGTTTCTCTGTGATCTCTCTCGCTGAACCTACTTTTGTGTGCATGTGTGTGTGTGAATAATCAATAAGACGGGGAACACACCACACAACCATCGGCCTACGCGATTCGCCGACTGGATCCGACACTTTAAACGCGAACTCTGTTATGTCACACTATACCGGCTGAAGAGGAGACGCGGCCGCTCGGATTGTAAGTCTATTCGCTGTAATCGAATCCCGTTGGGAAATTGAAGGGCGAAAAAGCACATTGAATTAGTTTTTGTCGTCGAAGAACGAATATTTCTTGATATTTAACGTATACAGGAATATGTAGGACAAAATTTTTAAGTAAATAAACTGACCTATTGAAGAACTTCGTAGAATTTGAATCGATTTATAGAATGGATTTTTGTGGCAAGTAATTAATTTGAAATAAATTCAGGACACACGAGTCGAGAATAAAAATTTCTGATCCTTAGCTCTCTTAGGAATTTGCACTTTCGAAATCAATATAATGTTATGTAACAAAAAATTAAAATGCTAGTCATAATAATAGCGTTCATTGGATATTTGTTGACGAATTATACAGTAAAATTCAAGATCTGAATATTTCAAATGCAAGTATATAATCTACGTTATAGAACATATGTCACCAAGTTTAATTAATTTTGTTCTATATTGATTGCGCACACAATAATACGAATCATGAAAACATAATTATAGCAAACAGTATTATTAATACTTGAATACATACGAAAGCTCGGAAAAACACATGCATTCAATGGCAGTTTATTGCTTTGTTTATTGCCAAGAAATAACTAACATTAATGAGCAATTGATATAGCAATTAATAATATTATATGCAATAATGCGTTTTCTCTCTTTGAAAATTGATACAAAATTAAAAAATAAACACAAGAATATAAATATATTATAAGCACGCGCTCAATTAAGCTTGCTCCTACGACTCGAAAACACATGGTATTATTAAAAATTCTTTTTTGCTGTTGCATCGCTTTATATTTCATGTTATAAAAGTATAATTTTCACGCAACGGGAGTCCAAGTTTTATTCCGTTCGTCCGTATTTTAATGGTCGAAACGAGAAACCGCCGTCGACGCGGAAACGCTCATTGATTGCACGGAGTGCACCGATGTGTCTATACGTGGCTCGCCTTTACATGCCTTCCTCGTCAGTCACGTTAGGAGTGAACGATGCGAAAACTTACTTGACCGAAGTGGGTGCCGGCTCCTTGCGCGCAGGAGGGTATCGCCGCCTCTTGGAAGAAAATACTGAGAGCGGTCTGCAACAGAGAAAGCCACGATCGTTAGAACATGCCTCATTAAATGATGCGGGAAAATAGTACGTTAAAAAAAAGTTTATGCATTATTGCTTCTAACGCTAACAGCAGAATGTTTATATTTAAACTTGGGAGAAAAAGTCTCCGATTTCTCTAATCCTTTTTTGCTTAAAATTTCCAGGTGAAATTTTTTAACGCAACGGCATTTTTAAACGCAATTTTAAAATAAATTTTTTATTATCTGAGCCTCTTATACACCGAGTCCTTGAAAAATAGAAACGGTCAAATAACTCGTCAGGGATGCATTAAAAAAAATGTTGGAAAGTTGTTGATTTAAAAAACCTATCTAATGGTTGAGACCCATTTGGGCTCGGATCCAAAACTTGGGCCCTATGAAAATCAAGTAGATTTTTTTAAATGGCAATACCAGGTTTTTATGGCTGATTCGTGTTTCTAACGATTTTAGAAAATTCCAAATATGTAACTTAAGTTGGGTCAGACTTCAAATTTGGGCCTCACTAGATCCAGATCCTTTAAAGGCAGGAGGCGGTCGAATAACTCGTGAGTAATACAAATGGACCTTAATCATTAGATAGATTTTTTGAAACCCAACAAACTCTCCCTCTAACATTTTTTCTAAAATACACCTCTGAGTTATTTGAACGGTTCCATACTTTTGAAGGCCCCTGAATTCCATCTCCATAGTCATATGATCGTAAATAAGAACTTGTTTCAAACAATAGATAAATACTAAAAAGAAACAGAGATTTTAAATTTTTCCAAGTCATACTAGAATATCCTTCTTTTTCTCTGAGGTTTATAAATGGAAAAAGAGTTTGATTATCCATCTCGAAGTTTAATTGCAAAAAAAGTTTCTTTTCGTTTTCTGATCTTCAATCTTTTATTCATGGAATAGTAAAGATATGAATAGTAAAGATTGAAATGGATCTCAGTACGCCGTTTTTGCGTCTTTAAAGCGCGCTAATCTCAATCGAATGCAGAAGATCGCGTACAGCCGTCTTTGATGATTAGGAACAGCGAGGACAACGTAATCGGGCCGAATAAGAACTCTCTGCCAGATGTCATTAGAGCGGCCGGTCTCGCAATCTTTCCGATCGCCTTCGCAAAAGTGCTGCTTCGTCAGTATCGCCCGACACCCTATAGTATCGATATCCGATCCACCGCGCATCGGATATCCATACGTTTGCACTTCCCAGGAGCCGATAAAGATATCCGATAATCGCTGATAACACACGCCGCTCGTGTAGCGCGACGGTAGTTTTTTAACGGTCCGTCAGTTATCAGCGGTTATTAATGTATCAATAATTATCTATAAACAGCTCTCTCGCGCTCCTCTCTGCGACACCTGGGCAACTAACTTCGTACCTCGTGCGTGATAACAACTGAATCACCGAATAACAATTATATAAAACGTAATAATTTTATTAGAGCAGCGCTCCACCGCGCTCTCGAATTGAATCGCGGCAACGAGTTTAACGCTCGCTTATTACAAGGCGAGCTCGCGGTTACGCAATATACCATGACATTCAACCACCGGCGTTTTAATTAAAGCGCCGGTGATACCCGATACTCTCGGATACATTGACGGCATTAGCATAAGAATGTAATAGGCCGGAGAGTAGGCAAGAAACGCGTTTTATATTTCGGTCAGAGCGCGCGCTGTCGCGGAGAGCGAAAGGAATCAACGCGTGCAAAGGTCCACAGTACATGTGTGTGAGTGTATGTGTGTGTCTGTTCAATATTTATTGACACTTTCTCGCAAATACAAAACAAAAAGATTTCCGAAGGAAAAAAACACTGAGAGAAAAAGAGGAGAAACAGCGAGCTGTTTAACATATTTATTTACAAAATTTAACGAGAGAGATTTGGAACAGCGCAAATTGAAAAAAAAAACCAAATGTTAAATAGGCAAAACTAGCGATTAGCTTTGTTTCAAAGAATATCGCGTTAGTTAAACAAGTTACATGATTAACGAGGCAGTTAACTAATGACTACGATTATTGTAATTACATCGCGATTACTTGAAATTCGCTAAACAAACGTATTACGTGCATATTTGTTTGACATCTAACATTTGTTTGGTAGATTTAATAGTCACGTTTTTGTCTACTACGTTACAAGCGGCTCTTTTTAAATATAGATATTATATAATTATGCATATTTCTGTCTTTCTGTTTATTGTACATACAGTTAATTTATTTAAATTGGAGAGGCGGAAGATAACGGGGAGAGATAAAATATACGTTAGACTTTAATGAGAGGTAAATACGAAATTCGACGAGACTCGGCCTCGGGTGGCACAAGATTCCGCTTTAGCACTCCGCCATACCGTACTCGAACGGAGAAAGTTCTCGCGGGGCTGCAAGAACTTTGCCGTGCAACATTCGCGTTATTATCTATACACCTCGTTCCGCGCCTGTCGCGGCATGGCTTGAAATCGACATAATTGCTAACAAGTTTTTAGGTCGCGAGATTGTAAAAACGAGAAAGCGCGCGATTCTGTCACATCGGACGAAAGTACGGTGCTCTTCTCCCGAATACAAACGATGCCGGTGACGAAGATCCACCGAATCATCTGCGAAAGTAATTTCACGAAAGTACATAATTTTACGAAATCAGAGAGGATGACGGACTTCCGACTCGCTGATCCTTCCTTTCGCCGATCAAGATAGAATGCGGGAACAATAACGGGACACCGTGTACATCCGCCGTTGCACCGAGAGAGTTGACGTTACGTTACGTGCCGAGGCGAGACGAGACGAAGCGTATATAAATACACATTGCCGCATTGTTTACGTTGTGGTCAAAGACACAGAAAGATTCCTCGAGCTAACTCTAATCACGATGATGCATTAAGCACGCTGGCTTGTGTGTCGCAATATAATCTCTCCCCCTCCTTCATTCTCTCTCTCTCTCTTCCTCTCCGCCTTTCTTGCTCTATCGACGACGTGTGTTTAAAAGCGAATTACGTGATGCTGAACAAGCGAATATGGAAATTTATTGCATGATTTATCCTGTAACTCTCTGGCGAGTAAATAATGCAAGCGAATAATTATTGCGTGTCTACTGTTCGCAAAATTTCCCCATTTATTCGTTCGTTCTTCTCTTATCATCTCTTCCTTTTCTCAATAATATATAACAGTGTTATCGATTTTATAATAAAAAAACTCTCTTAATTTCTGACTTCATAAAAATGTTTTATCGCGCATAAATGGCGAAGGTGAGGAAGATATATTTTTGAAAAATCGAATTACCCATTTAGGGATTAAAATAATCCTTCGAAATAATTCAGTACATCTAATTTCGAATGTTTTGTAAATGTAAATACAAAGTACAATATATAAAACGCCATACACAAAACTTTTGACTATAAAACATTTTTTTTATACATTTTAGATAACGCTCAGTTTAGATAACGCTCAAAATCGATAATATTCGATAATGTTCGAAATCAGATGAATTATTTCAAAGGATTATTTTAATTCCTAAACATTGTGAAAGCACACATAATAGAATGCTATCTATTTTTAGTTGTCCTACACACCTAAAAACTATCGAGATTGGCGAGGAATTTTTTTTGTCAGATAAACGATCAATCTCATTCATTTCGGATTTATTGCCCCAAAAAAAGAATATCATATATATAGGATTTTTTTCATTTTCCACATTCAATTCAAAACAAATAAAAAATTGTTATAATCTAATGTAATTAATTAGAAGCTGAAAATTTCCCGGGAGAGACGCGTTTTTTCCGCTTTTAAAATCCAGATTTAAAATCCGTACAGCTCACCCGAATTTTTCTCTATTACATATATATGGAAAAATGGAATTTTATGTATTTTATTGTCAACGGCAAACAAAACGGTGAGATTCCATCGTTTGCGGAAAATTACGTAGGTGAGTCACGCTCGCGTGGCCGCCGGGACCGTCCGGACCTGAATTCGCCGAATTTACGGTCGGCTTCAGTTCCTGCTTTTAACGCACAGGATTGTGTAACGTCAGCCGGACAGGATTGCAGAAGACGAAGTGTAAACACCGGTATACCACGTGACTCGCCGCAAATAGCAATTATCGATTACCCTCCTCGTCGTCCTACGTTCGTTCAATTGGGATAAAGATTCCGCTGCGTGTCGCGAGCGCTAAAAAAAAAATGCGTACGTAGCGAGTAGTGTGTAATCTGAAGAGAGAAAGACAGAGAGAGAGAGAGAAAGGAGAGATAGAGAGTGGCGTAATCGCTCTCGGGACGCGCTGCGACTAGAGCAATAATATTGCGCAACAATTTCCCGGCGACCTATGGCATAATACAGGCGCCGCAATCGATACACAACACCCCCCATCACCCCGGGAAGGATTGTTCGATGAAATCAATAGGTATAAGATTCGCGATACAAAATCCCGTAGCGCGGGGAGCCGCGAACGCGCAAAAACAACAAACGCGGCCAGTTGTTAACTCCGTGCGACAGCCGTGCGCAATCCGGGCCGGATGCGAGAGTGAAACGAAAGCGAGGCGGCACAGCAACGTGCCGCAACAACGACTCTCGTCAACAACGACGGGCCGCCTCTGCTAGAGTCTATACTATTTACAATTTCCACGCTGTCGCGCGAGGCGGGGGCGAGGGGGGGCTGTCCAACAAAGGCACCGCGCGCGGCATGCGGGTTTACGGAATCGGTTTTTTTTCTTTGCCCACGCACGTCGCATCGCGCCGCGTTTAGCGACGACGTCGCGCGATTTTTATGAATGAAGCGACCGGGAACGGCGATCGCCTCGCGGGCCTCGCGTCGCCCGGCGGAGAGCGAGCGTGTCAGATCCGCGGCCGCGCGGCGAGCGTAAACGACGTCGTCGGGGCCGGGGATCACGCGGCCGCGTTCGAGCGGCCGACGACGGCGGCCATTTTCGTCGCTTTGTTTACGTAGCAGTTGTCCGAGAGAGCGAGTGTGGACACAACGCCGTCTCGGCGGTATCGTACCGTGCACCGGATGCGTGCGTGTGCGATCATACACGCGCGTCAGAGGCGGGGGAGGGAGGGAGCACACGAGAGACGCACACTCTCGCGGGTCCTCTCTCCTCTCCCCCGCCCGCCCCCGTGTCGCGTTTCTCGCGGCGGTCGTCCGTGTGTCTTCTCCTCCTCCTCCTCGTTGTCCTCACCTCGAATTGCCAATGCGCCGCTTGCAGCAACTGCTTCGCCTGCTCCCTGGCACAGCCCGCGGCCAACACAAACTGATTGATCATCACCTGCTCCCGAAGTGCGTCCATTTTTTTGTGTCCGATCACGTTCCCAACAATGACACGAAGGGAGAGAGAGAATTGTTGTCACGGGAAGAGAGTCGGGAGAGTTTCGGGGGCGGTCGGGGGAGAGACACAAACGGGGATAAATATCACTGTGCAGACCCGGGGGGAGAATGTGAGGAGGAATATGGACGGACGTACCACAGTAAAACAGCTGAAACGAAAAGAAGGGACGGAGGCGCCCGTCGTCGAATCCGTGTGTGTACACGACTCGCGTCCCGACGCGATCCGCGGCGGTTTAACCCTCGTCCGGTGGCCGTGCGTCTCTTCTCTCTCGCTGCGCCGCGCTTGCTTGACGGGACGGGAGCGGAGCGCCTTCCGCTTTTCTTACGCGCGAGCCGTGTGACGACGACGACGACAACGCACCACGGTAAGCGGCGAGCGGCCCTTTGTTTTCAAAACTAAACGCATCGCAGACGACCGCGACTGCCGCGAGAGCGCTACGGCCGCGCGGCGACGACGACGATGACGACGACGACGACGGCGACGACCAGTGACGACGGGGCACTGGAGAGACGCGAGGGACGCGACGGAAGAGCGAAGTGAAGCGTGTGCGCCGCGGCTGCCTACTGCCTGTGCGTGGTGACGTCACGCCGCGGCGCACGGAAATTGCGGAAGCAGCGTCAGTCCCACTTGAAGTTGGTTTCTTACGATCGAGTGCGCGTCGCATCTAGATATTAGTATGTTATGATTGTCGGGTTTCGAAAGAAAGTTTTTGACAGGAAGTTTGCTTTTTCTTTTTCTGTTTTTTATTTGAAACATGCATATACATATAAATTTCATGGGTGGTAATTCAGATAATTAATCAAAATTACGATTCCGCCTGTGATGAAGCTTGCTCTTTTTCACTGTAATTTTTTTAAAATCCCTTCTGCCCTTGTCTCTTCAATTTTTTTCTCGTCTGCCTATCTCTCGTGCGTTCGAAGTGCAGAAAATATAACGCGGATACGAAAAACATATCTATATCCTTCTGTTTATCACGAGTGTTTGGTAAATAATTATATATAATTATCACGTAAATGTCCCTTTAAAAATTTTCAAATTTGTCCAGTCGCTACAATGAATAAATAAGGATGAGATGTGAAGAAAATAAAAAATATTCATTTAATTTACAAAATCCGCGAGAATTTTGCAAATTCTCCGTATGCGTGTAAAACGCAAATTCTCCGCAAAATTGAAATTTTCCAGAAGAAGTACGAATCTCATTTAAGTTACCGACAGCTCCTATCGAAACTAACGAGACATCGAGATAATCGAGAATCGCTGAGTATCGATCTCGAGTATCTCGACGTCCCGCACGACTCGCGCAGTCGGCAGTCTCGTAAAAATGGCGTGCTTGTATCGGTCCGTGAAACAAATCGGGAAAGGTCTAATTTTGTCGGCGTCTAATAGAAGTGTATCGCTATCCGCAACCGCACGATTAAAACAGAGTGAGTTCGTTAAACGTCGTTGAACAAAGTGGGGAACACAATTTTTTTTCATTATAACCTCCAATCTATACATAACCTAATCTAACCTTCCCTCGATAAACCACGAGTTATTAATTCGCCTCTAATTTACTGTCGCAGTAATTGAGAAGAAAGAAGATAAGGTCTTAACCATCGAGGGTGTAAATGTGCCTCAGAAGAAGGAGCATTTATTAGTGAAGTTGAACTCCAATGCGTGTCCGCTTTGCGCCACGGAACTTGACGTTAAACACACCGTGAGTTCTATTGATTTACATATCAGAGTACTGTGTTACGTGAGTAATTTGTATATATTGATCGTCGAATCTGGGATTCTTCGTTGTTCGCAGGATGTCCTTATTCTGAGCCAGTTCCTGCGGTCGAACGGAACGATGCTGCCGCGCAGGATAACCGGCCTGTGCAACGTGCAGCAGAAAAAGGTTTCAGTTTTGGTGACTATGGCTCAGAGAGCAGGTTTGTGTATATATGTCAACCTATCCAGACAGCGTACAGTCGTGGATGGGTTGCGACACTTTTTTTTGTATAGGTTTCAAAACTCACTAATACTTTGCAAATGCAGATCACATTTGGTGTTATACTGTCTCTAGATTAAAAATAGTACCTCGTGGATTCGCATTTGCAAAATATTGGTTACCCATAAAATATGTATATCAAGTATATATTAGAAACCTATAAAAAAGAAAGTGTCGCAACCTTTGTCCACGACTGTACAGTCATGGACGCATTGGTTGCGACACTTTCTTTTGTATAGGTTTCTAAATGTACTAATACTTTGCAAATGCGAACCACGATTGGTGTTATATTATCCCTAGACTAAAGATAGTACCTCGTGGATTCGCATTTGCAAAATATTGGTTACCCATACAATATGTATATCAAATATATATTAGAAACCTATAAAAAAGAAAGTGTCGCAACCTATTTGTCCACGACTACAGTCATGGACGCATTGATTGCGACACTTTCTTTTTTATAAGTTTCAAAACGCACTAATATTTTGCAAATGCGGATCACGTTTGGTGTTATACTGTCTCTAGACTAAAGATAGTACATCGTGGTACGCATTTGCAGAATATTAGTTATCTATAAAATATATATTATGTATATTAAATATATATTAGAAATCTATAAAAAAAAGTGTCGCAAGCAATGTGTCCATGACTGTACAGCAGCAAGCATGTTTAAAAGTGGGTGGTTAAAAGTTATTTTAACCGTAAGATTGTAAGCATATTAATCAATCACAGTCGAAGAGTTCTAAAACGTAAGACCGCTATTTTGATTGTGATTGGTCAATTTGCTTACGGCCTTATGATTACAACTAAAATTTGTGTACGTGTGATAGCCTTAAGTACGTCTCTAATGATATCTTTAAGATAACGTCTGATATGACGTCTAAAGAATGTCTAAGTGGTGTCTTTTAGACGTCTCATATCCCACTTTTGGACATGCGTGCTGTCTGGATAAATATATCAACACACAATGAATCACGTACAATTAAAGAACGTACGATTAAAGAAACACATTCCTGGAATAACTCTTACCTCGCATTCTTTTTCCAGGCTTGTTACCAGACAGATTTTCAAAGCAGATTAGGAAAGGATTACAATTTGGACCATACTGGAAAAGATTCAACACGTATTACGATGAGGATACCATACAATACAAATATAAACGCTAGGAAATGTACAGCATAGAACCGAATAGTATATTTTATATGCTCAGTTGATCGTCATTATTTAATCCAACATTAATCTACTCTCTTCTCTGCCTAATTATCTCCTTTACAACAATACTCTTGAATTGAGGGATTTGGGAGGAAAAATTTCGTTGACATTTAAAAATTCCTATAATTTACAATTCGCGTGTAGATAAAGCGTTTATAAAAGCATCGCATCACGCAAATGTTGCTGCAATGACAATATTGCTCGATTTCTCTAAAATCAAACTTTAGGCCTGTCGAGCCTTTTTAGCTGAACTTGTTGCATGGTTAATCTTTTCTCTCTTTCTCTCCACATTGAAGCAAAAAAAAGGAAAGAAATGAACCGTGCAAGAAATCCAATTAAAAAGAACATAATCTTTTAATAGTGTCCAATTTTCTCAAAACCGTAATTGCTATAAATTTTTATTCTGAGATACGAATTGCGCGCTATGAGAGATGGCGCGAGTGTGGATATTTTCAGTCACGTGTACGCTGTTGCTATCAGCTGATTTATTAACCTCCGTCGAGAAATGTTTTGAGACCTTTGAGACTTGGTTTTTTTTGCATTTGAATTCCGAAGCAGCAAAAACCATCGCGTTAACAATGTGAAATAGGTGCCGGACACGAACGGGGCGATAATAGTAATCGTACAATGTACGCAAAGTACTTTACAAAGTACTTTACACTTGGTTAGTTACAAAACACTCGTAATCTAATCTAACGAATCTGATATCTAATCGGGAAAATTACAAAACTCCTCTCGATTATAAAATCGTCAGACTTTATTTTGTGTCACCGTACTGGAAAACAAGGCTTCAAATTTGGTTCCAGAGAGAATAATTTGGAGGGAATCATGTCCACGAGTTTTATGACGCGGAGAGGCCTGCGTTCCATCGGTGTTTACTGTTACACCACATGGAGCAGATCGAGGAACCTGAAGCACGTTGGCGCGGGAATCCTGACGGGGTTCGCGGCGTACAGCGTGTCCAGGATCACCGTTCTCGCGGCGCAGAACGACCTGCACACCTACGTCAAGACCTTCATGGCGCAGCCCGTCACGGACGTTGAGACGCTGCAGAAGAACCGGAACGACATGAAGACGAAGATGGAACTGCTGGTGATGAAGACCCAGGCGGACTTCTGCAGGGCGCTCGAATCGCTGGAGAGCGACAAGAAGACCTTCACGGTGGACCGCTGGATGAGGAAGGAGGGCGGCGGCGGCGTCACCTGTGTGCTGCAGGACGGTCAGGTGTTCGAGAAGGCGGGCGTGAACGTGTCCGTCGTGACCGGCGTGCTGCCGCCGAGCGCGGTCCAGCAGATGCGGGCGCGCGGCAAGAGGATGGAGGACTCGGTGCCGTTCTTCGCCGCCGGCGTCAGCGCCGTGATCCACCCGCGCAATCCCATGATCCCGACGATTCACTTCAACTACCGCTACTTCGAGGTGAAGAATCCGGACGGCACGATACAGTGGTGGTTCGGCGGCGGCACGGATCTCACGCCGTACTACCTGAACGAGGAGGACGCCCGGCACTTTCACCGGGCGCTGAAAACCGCCTGCGACAAGCACGATCGCACGTACTACGCCAAGTTCAAGGAGTGGTGCGACAATTACTTCAACATCGTGCACCGCGGCGAGCGGCGCGGCGTGGGCGGGATATTCTTCGACGACCTCGACACGCCGAGTCAGAGCGAGGCGTTCCAGTTCGTCACCTCGTGCGCCGAGGCGGTCATCCCGTCGTACATTCCCCTGGTGAAGAAGCACAAAGACGACGGCTACGGGTACCAGGAGAGGCAGTGGCAGCTGTTGCGACGCGGCAGATACGTCGAGTTCAATCTGATCTACGACCGCGGCACCAAGTTCGGCCTGTACACGCCCGGCGCGCGATACGAGAGTATCCTCATGTCGCTGCCGCTGAACGCCAAGTGGGAGTACATGCACGAGCCCAAGGCCGGCTCGAGGGAGTCGCAGCTTCTCGAGGTGCTGAAAAATCCGAAAGATTGGTTGGGCGATGCGCGAGCGTAAATCATAAATAAACTCGGGATGGCTTTTAATTGGGAAAAATTATGTGAAGGTAAACATTGAGAATATAGATCATCTTAGTACATAAACGGGATCTAAAGTGATAGAAATAATACAGATCGATATTTTGCGAGTCGGTTTACAGATGTGTATGAACTACTTTACAAATAAAACTTCGTTGATGTTATATTTAACATCAGTTGGAAGGGATGTGATGCTCCAAGTGCCAATATATTATAGAACTATGCGGTGAATGATCGTAATATAAAGAATAAACACAAATTTTGTACAATATACATGTATTAACTAGTAACTTGTATACAATCATACATATATTGAAATTTATATTTCTTGAAATCAATATAAAAGTAAAAATAATGAGATAAAAAAATGTGATGTATATAAAATCTCTCAAGCTGCTTTAACGCGCTTAATATCAACTACATTAATTCTAAAAATGTAAATAAACATTATTTACATTATACATGGAACCATCGTTACCTAAAACGAGATTTTTCGCTAAGATGTGTATATATTTACGTGGAAGTCGATGGTAATTGTATTCATTTTCATAAATTTAGTTTAATATTCAGTCTTCGGTTTACAGAAATTCCATTCCTATCTCTTAATTCGCATTAGGCAGTTATACAAAGCAAGTATCATCTTGCTAAAATGAGATACAATATTATATTCACTTTAGAGATCATATAAATGCAGGGAAGATATTTATAAATGTGTATAAAATTACATAAACAAGATAATATTACGATATAAAATTGAAGTGTGATTATCAAGTAAATTCCTCGAAATTAAGGAGAAATCCTTCACAGCCAAAATGATTTTACAATCACGTGTGATATATATTGGAGTGGATATTTCAGGATATGATGAATAATGTTGCGAAATTGAATTAGCTAAATTTAGTATTGAGAAATCAATACTAAGTTGTTGACACTCGAAGGCCGAGCTCCGTGATAACGCGAGTCGTCAGTTCAGAAAAGGAAATCTCACTGAAATCGGCATGTCGGATTGACGTGTCTCGACCGGCCGAAAGATATTTTTAGAGACTTTCTCATTGTGATTGCGTTTCGTTGTGTTTATTATTCTTCCTTTGCGGTCAATATGTTTTACCTGTATATGTATGCCACGGTAGCGCATGATACTCGGAGACGTGACAATACTGTAAAGATTATTTAAACCTATCGAATTTAACTCCTTCAACTGATCAAAGTTATTTCAAAGCTTTGTAGTCTTTTGCTTAGTCATAATATTAATATTTATACCGATTAAGGGGATGCTGGCGCCAAACTCCACAGTATCGCTATTTTATCGACGATATGTGCGTATGTATGCGTGTGATATTGATATAATAGTGATGTGTTTATGTTTACATCAGTATCACACACACACATCGTGACAAATTTTCGTGTAGGTATTTTTCGAAAATTAAATATTTAAATTTAATTCTAAAAACTTCATATTATTTCTTCACATAATATGAGTCACTACAATTTCGTAAATATAAATTGCAGATTTTTTATATAAAGCACACGTTGTCTCGATTTGACAGTTCTAAGATGCCATGTACATACTAAGAAATGAATTTTTTTTGTTCTCAGCATAAATTCCGAGCGTCAGACTAGTATTAATGCGCATACTTGAATTCTGAAAAAGGATTTCCAAATCGATTAAAAGTAATACGGAAAAATCTCGACACAAAAATTATTGCGTTTTGCTCGATAAAATAGACGACGCCAGCATCCCCTTAAAACGAACTATTAAGCTTGAAGAATCAAGATTGAAGATTATTCGTAGGCGAATAATTTTCATTATGTACAAAATCTTTAAATAATCGCGTCTCTAAACGCGGCATAAATAGCAAGAAGACATGAGTATTTAATATATGAGGCCTATTGAACACACGATAAAGATTAATCTCGTTTACAAATTACAAAGTGTGCTAGTCTCAATATTGCGCAGTCTATGAAATTAAAATTGCATAAAAATAAATACGTCGTTATAGCAGACGAACAAAGTGATCTGTTATTATATATGTATATAAATTATATATATATATATATAATAATAATACATATATTTTATATATAAGTACATATATATGTATTATGCATATATATGTTTATATATAAATTTATATAATATATAACTATATATATGTATATATATATAATTATATATATAATTGTAGTGTATATATATAATTATATATTAAACACTCGTTTCTTTCTTCACTGGCAAATGGCTCATCGCCTCATCTAAATAGATCTCGTTAGCCTCAAATTGTTGCATATCACCCGACTTCGCGGGTTCCGCGAATGCGTTCATTTCCTCGATTAAATTGAGATTATTAATATCGCGCGAGCTAGACCTACTAATTGACGGAATATCAGCGAGCGAACCGAAGTTCTTCTCCAGCGGAAGATCCTTCGACTCGGGCGCATTAAACACATTGTGATCCACGTGATCTGGCAGTTGCGATTCCTCGCGGAAGTTGTTCTCCTCCAGACTCCTGTCGGAGACGTAATAGATATTCGACAGGGAACAGGCGTAGGGGGTCTCCGCGTGCGGGGTCAACGTACACGGATTATCACTGGTCAAACTGTTTATCTCGAAGAGCGAGCGTTCCGAACGGTCGAACGACTCGCGGGACTCAGGAACTTCTCGTCCACACAGATTCGAGCTGGTTGTACTTTGTATATCTATGAGCGACGGTTTCGAGTAGTCGCGGCGCCTCAGCGACGCGATGTCGTTCAGCGAGCTGCAGTAGCTGTTCATCAGCGGTCTCTCGTGCTCCGACGGCAGGCAGTACATGCTGTTTGAGAGATACAGCCGTCTCACGTCCCTCGATACGCTCTCCTCCTCGACGGCGATCTCGAGCTCGTCCGCGCTGGGACACCTCTGCCGCGCGAAACGCTCTTCCTGGGCCATTTCCACGCTCTCGCAGATCTCCGGCAGATTGTGATCGCTCCGCTCGCTAGTCATCTGTGTGACGGTGTCCATCTCGGAGCTGTACTCCAAGCTGCACTGCTGCGAGACGTTCCGCAGGTGCCACTCCTCGTCCGTCTTCGAGACGTCCGCGTCCGAATCCTGCGCCGCTCTCCTCGACTGCGGCGTTTCTCTCGTCGCACCGGACATGACGACGTTAACGTGCGGGCTGTCCCGTTGCGCGCTGTTGTTGATCTTCTTGATGCTGTGCATCAGATTCTCCTGGCCGATAACGAAGCGTATCGGGATATTCCTCTCTTCGGAGATACTGCCGCCGCTGTCCGACAGAATGTTCACGTTTTTTATGTCGTTTATGGGATTCAGCTCGACGTGTATATTGGTGTTGTTCACTTTGGCGCTGCTGCTCAGGATGCTGCGCTCCAGGCTGTTGTTGATCTTCACGGTGGGCCGGGGTATGGAGACGCAGCTGCCGCCGTCGCTGGTAGCCCCGCCGTCGCCCTGCTTCCTCGGGCCGAGATTGTTCTTCTTCGCGGTCGCGTATCTGCGTTGCTTCTTGAAGAACTTCCGGGCGACGCCGCTCTGATGGGGATTGTAGAACATCTCGACGCAGGCCGACGACGGCTCGGTGTACGTGGTGACGGAATTATTGGAGCGATACTGGTGACGATGCATCACCACCAGATTCGCCGCCTTCGCGTTCACGGAAGGGGCGGGCATGCTGTCCCGATTGGCTGCCACGAAGTCCACGAGCTTCGAGCCGTTGTAGATCGACTGCGACTGGTTGGTGTTCCTCGACGAGGCGACCGAATTTGTGTCGGATATCGCCTGGGTGGCCTGCGAAGTCGACAACGGCGGGACGAAATTCTGCACGAGCGGCTGCGTCGGGATCGCGGCGTTCGCGTCGCACACGCTCCTGGTGCGGCAGCAACGGTTCTTGCGCTTCTCCAGCCAGCATCGCATCTTCAGCCACTGGCTGCGCACGTCGCTACGGGCGATCCCGTAGAAGAGCAACACGAAGAGACCCAGCGAACTCGTGGTGACGGCGTATATCACGGCGAACACGGTCTCCTCGTACGGCAAGGAGTTGAACGGCTTGATCGTCACCGCGGCCGCGCTGCCCCAGGATATCAGATACAGCACCAGCATTATGACCTGACCCTTCCACTGCGTGAACTGCGAGTGCTCCGGGTCCTCGATGTCGGAGGACACCGTCTGCGTGCTGCGCATGCTGTTCCGGTCGCCGGACGGATTCGCGTTCGGCTCCAGTAACTCGAGATCCATGTTCTCCGTCGCCTGAGTACCCTCGGAGAGCTGCGCGTTCGTGTCGACGTTCTGAATCGCGCGTCTGATGAGCAAGAGGAAGATTAGCAGGTACGCGATCAGGATGCCGGACGGTATGAAGAGCGCGGCGAGCGCCGGCCCGGACGTGAGGAAGCAGTGAGAGTAGCCGGCGTACTCGCGCAGATTGATCGCGCCGGATATTCCGCAGATTATCAAGGCCACGCCCCATCCGACCAGGTAGAGACCTAGCAGGGGCTTCGGTATAGGCTGATCCGGAAGCTCGTCGTCGGGTATCACATCCAGACCTGGTTTCGTCAGTTTCTTGTACGCATTGCTGAAACGGACGGACCTCGATTATTCGCTTCATTTTCGTCGATGAGCATGTATAATATATATATACACACACACACTTACCTGGCAGACACTGCCATCCACAGCAGGCAACACAACGACAAGTAGTGCAAAGCAAGACCGACACCCTGACAAATCTCGAGGTGCTCCGTTTGCTGGATGCCGATGCTGTACAGGAACGACAGCAGCGCCATGGCGAACCAGGTGTTGATAACCGAGTGCTTCGCTTTCTTCGGCATCGTGATAGACGTGTAAGAAATAATGTACGTCACGGACATGAACATCAGGCACGTTATCGTCATGAAGCTCCCGATGTATATCGCGGGATGCGAGTACCTGAATTTCGCCCCGTGCAAACTGCAAGAGTCACATGCAACGACAATAGAATGGCGATCGAAAAAAAAAGACCGGAAGAAAATGTACATGTGGGAAGGCACCGCACCTGTGTCCATCAAGATGCGAAACTTCCTGCAAAAGTCCGTAATATCCCAATCTGTCGCAATGGAAGACTATCAGATTATTCAGTAGGTTGGTTAAATAGCATCCGTCACTGGTCCACGCTCCCCCGTTCAACGTTTCATCCCACACCACTGGCTTCGGCTTCTTCCCGTTGTAATGATACAACGGTGTCTTCAGCATGATGTAAACCGGTTCGGACAGATTTCGTGTTGACGTACCGACTGAAAAAAAAAAACCAATTATGCGACTTATTTAAAGGATTCGTGAAACGTAGATTTTACAATGCCTACGGTTTTCGGACTCACTCAATTTACTGCCGACGACGCACGTTGATATGTCCATGCTGTCATTTACAATCGTCTTGGGAAATAACCTGCTGTCGCTGTACATAGATATCATGAGCTGTTGGGCCACCCCTACGTCGCGCGAGTGTTGCAGCAGAGAGGCGGGCAGCTGAATGGAGGCCTCTACCGCCTTGTCCTTCGTGTTGATCGGCGTCGTCCTGTTGATCGTCGTGCAGTGCAGAAATCTCACGTCCGAGTCGGTGCTCGCGGCGACATTCGTGTACCACGTGCACGTTAATCCGGCGAAACTGTCGCGCTTGATTCGAAACTCTTCGAGCGCCAGGTACCTCTTGTGCGACTGTATGGACGGCGTGAATTCCGCGATACGTTCGATCGCCTTGATCACTCTCGTGCAGGCTCTGAAAGTTACTTCCGCCCTCCTCAGCATCTCCTTCGGCAACTTCATCGTCGAACCGACGACGTCGACCAGCATGATGCCGAGCTCCTTCTCGTCTATCAGGAAGCGCAAGTAGTTCTCTATGGTTCGCACGATGAAGTGCACTTCGACCGGATCCGTCAGCTTCACGTTCCCCGTGTAATTCTTGAATCTCTTGGCCGTCTCCAGCAGGCTGCTCTTCGTCAGCGACAGATTAACCTTCGAAAATTGCTCCAGGATCTTGGTCGTGTGAGATATGTACGGGCATGACTCCGTATTCAGACGCTCCCACTGACCGCTTGCGTTGCAGTGGTAGAAGGCTTTCAGAGGCGTCTGCATCAAGCCCGCCGACAGACGATCGCCCTCGCACGGCAGCTCCGCCTTCCATCCCACTATCGTCTTCGGCCACGTGTAAATGCCCTTGTTGTTTCTCGTTACTGAAAGGAAGATTACGTGATTACACGGTTTTCTTTAGCACCAAAAAGAATTCGATTCGCTTACCCGCTAGAGGACAGTAACGCGTGTGTTCGGATATTACGATGACACTGACTGCCTTCGACTTATTGCCGTTTACGGAGACCAGTAAACAATTCCACTGCCCGTTGTGTTCCTCCTTGATCGGGACTATACTAAGAACACTGAAAGACAACGCAAAAGATATAATAATTATTTGATTAATGATAAATGCAACTTATTGTAAACACAATATAATTAAAAAACGACTCAAAGACGAGCAATCGTTAGATTTATATTTAGTTCTTTATTGTCTCACATATAATAAATTCGCGATATCGCTAAATATAAATCTACTGGCGACGTTAGTCCGTTTTCTAATTATATAATTATTCGATATTTACGTGATATTTTTCTAATTATATAATTATTCGATATTTACGTGATATTTTTTTAAGATAATTTAGAAACTCTATTACCTGTCCACGATGCCGTTATCCGACAGATACCTATTGTCAACCTTGATGTTGGGTAAATTCTTTCGCGGATCCTTGTAAGCGTTCAAGTCGATTTCAGCGGACGCGTTAGGATACCACAACCAGTTCAACTTGGCGCTTTTGTCCACCGTGATGCTGGGTGCTCTGCATTTCAAGGTAATCGAATCTCCAGCAAAGACCACTTGGTTCTGAACCGGACGAATTTCAACAGCTGGCGACGTCCACTGGCACTGAAGCTCCTCCAAGAACTTCAATTTCTTCAACGGTTGCCCCTTGGCAAGCGCTGGCGACGCGCATTTCGGCGTTGGGCTGAAATATTAGATGAAACGTGAAGGACTATTCATTGTAAATAATTGATTAATCAGAGATATACGATATATGTTACCTTAATTTAATTGAAGAATTGTAGATCCAATTACTAAACCAATACAGATCGCAGTCACATTTCCAAGGATTATTAGACAAGTCTCTGAAACATACACAAATTATTGTTATAGGTTATATACGAATTAATATATTGATGACAAAATAAATGAGAAATACGAGTAGAAATTCATTTTACTCACAGTTGCTTTAACATCTTAAGCCCGTGAAATGTGCCTTCTTTCAAAGTAGTTAAACTGTTTTCATTTAATCTCCTATAACAGATACAAATGATTCGGTTTGTAAAATGGATTTTCATGTAATAATGTATGCACATAGAAAGCTAGTAAAATTAATATCTCTACTAGCGTAAATAAATCTTGCTTTAACTTACAAACGATCTAAGGCCAACAAATCATGAAATAAGGATGGCGCCAGAGCGGTAATTTTATTTCCAGACAAATCGCTAGAGCAAACAAAGCAGAGAATGCATAAGAAACAGAAATGAATGTATCTTTATAAGAAAACCGCGTGTCAACTTTCACTCTAGACTTACAGCTTTTTGAGATTCGGTAATTTCTTGAATGCATAACTGTCTATCGATGAGATCTGATTCTGGCTCAAATCCCTGTAATCATAAGTTCACAAGATTGTAGAAGATTGGAGTAAGTTTATATTATTTATGTGAGTTTTTATATGCGAGTTCTTACAATCGCTCCAAATTCTCCAAGCCGTTGAAACTATCCTCGCCAATAGATTTAATCTTGTTCTTCGACAAGTCAAGCCGCCTGAGATTCGTCAGATTCGCAAATGCGTTCGCTTGTACGGCGTAAATGACATTCTTGCTCAAGTCTCTGTAATCAATTCGCTCTGTTATCGTATCGTCAGAAGCGAAAGGTATGAACGGAAGGTGCAGACAAGCCTTACAATTGTATAAGCTCCACGCTGACTTTGTTGACGTCTACATCCTTGATTTCCTCCAAGCGGTCGCCGCACTTGAGACGCAGCCACTCGGCTTGAGCGCCGACCGGCTTGCACGTGCAGTGCTGCGGACACACAATTGCGCCGGCCCACGTCGGAAGCAGAAGAGCAAGCAGAAGAGTGGCTCTCATGATCGGAGGGAGGTAGCCGTTGATCTGAAAAGCATAAAAATCTGCTCTGTGAAACTGAAAATAAATGGACCTTTACACATACAAACACACACACACGCGTGCGCGCGAACAAAAAACGTTGCCGTTCGAGATACTCCACGATATAAATGTCTCCGAATTGAAATGACAAGTAATCGAGGCAGGATTTTTTGAGGAAAATCGCGGGTGCGAATGAGAGAGATACAACGGGGAAAAAGTACCAACATCACTTTCCGACGCATGTATACCGAGAACGCTGTGCGCGCGGATCGGGGTTGAAGCCGATTTTTCACAGCCGCGAGAATTAAAGGCGCGGGGGACGGATGTCCCGCGGATACTCACGGCCCAGTTAAAGGTCGCGGTTCTCACATTGTCGAGGAGCGGATTTTAAATAGCCGCATTTTATTTATGTAGCCCGTATGTTATTGACGCTGCGCGGCCCCAGGATGGACTAGGTTAGCTGGGTAAAGCGGAATCTGGAGCACACGGAGGCTTAACGCTATCTGACGAGAGCGGCCGGCACTTGGTGGACACCGCGCTAGCGGTAATAGGAACCTCAGCAGATACCTATAAAGGAGCTTATTTTGTAAAGCTGTGACTTTCGTATTTTCCGCATTGAAGTGGGACTCAGATCCGAGTTAAAATTTTTATCTGTTCTGCCTTGTTAATCTTCAGTCAATCACAGCGGCTTTCTATGTGCAATATAATTAATAGTAATTGCGGCAACGCTGCCGCGCCGCCATAAGTGCACACACGCCATTATTACGGCGGGTGCCTGTATGTAGGCCACCCGTCGTACAGCGCGCTTTCTCGAGAGCGCATACGAACACGATTTCAATAGGAAAACACTATATGATATACATGTAGAAAAAGAATTAGCCAATGAAGCTAAATTATAGCTGTGGCAGTTAAGATATGTCATTGAAATAGGGACAGCTAATGTTGTTGCTGCCGAAGTTTAATTTATTAGTTATTAAAATGTATAGATGCAAAAAATATTTACTGTTAAAATCAAATGATATTTAGCCGAATCTACTATGCTATTTTATCTTCGCAATAGAGTAATAATATTTGCGGTATACAACTTATATACTGCAAAATATAAATGCTAAATGTGCTGTATAAATGTGCATATGGCAGTGCCACACATTGCAAAAACAATTACAAATAAAATTTTTGCGCGTAGCTATAAACTTAGCTCTGTGTGCTAAATGTGTGCATGATGAGACATTTAAAGGTACGCATGCCATATTTTTAGCTGTCTGTACTAATATATATATATATGCATGCTTTTAATTTCCGTTAATAATTTTTTTGTCACAGTGAATGTTTTTTATCTGTATAATAGCCAGAACTTAGCAATGACACTAAGGCGGTAGCTCTTATAGCTAAGTTTGATTCAGCTGTTGAAATTTGACTACTATTATTAAATTATTTTTTTGCGTGTATCTACAAGACATTTAATTTTTCAATTTTTATTGTATATAAGTATATATAAAATTGCGATCTTTTATCCTAAAAATGTACGGATAATTACATAATTAAAAAAATGCATTGAAATAATTTTGACTCATAGCTTGGCGCGATCATTTCTTTTTCGAGTTATTCTGCCGTCGCAAAATCGTGTGCGATTATTGTTGAAAATTTTATACGAAATATCGCCATCATAATTTACCGTGCTTCTTTAGGAGTACTTTTTGTGTATGCGTAAAAATATTACTGAAATGTAGTAGTGCCATTGCTACATTTTAATAGTATTATTCATTGCTACTGCATAACTCCATTAATAGTTTATTTTTATGCGTACGTGGTATGTATGAAATAAAAGAATCTAAAAGCAGAAATAGTCATCGGACGACGATGCTGGACGGATCAACCGACAAAATTACCTTTATCAGGTAATTTTTACTTTTCATTGTATAATTCTTTTCGGAAGTTATGTAATTTTTTAAATATAATCATTATTGCATTATCATGAGATTTATTAATCTACAAAGCTTTCTTTTAAAATTTGCGTACTCTATTCGTAAATATACTGGATTACAATTCACGATAATAATTTACTCATTAAAGAATATCCAAAATGCAATGAATAAATTATTTAGAGTTTATTTCAGAACATGTAAACTACAATTTAGTTTTGTTTTGTTTAGTTTTCGGATATCTTTAGATATCGTCCCTTCCAACACGGGGAGAATTATTCCTTTTAAAATTTACTCTGAAAATCATGTTAATTGTAAGATAATATAGTATTTAGCTAAATTAAAAAAAAAATTCTCTCCGTGTAGGGTACTCGACCTTGTAGTGGTGGAAGGGCTCAGTACCCCGAGGACTTAAAAATTAATTATATTATACTAGTTAATTAATTAATTATAAGTCTAAAGACGGGGAAGCTAACTGAGTA